GTCCAAAATTTGATCGATTTTTACAGGAAAATTAAGAATTTTTATTATAAATGTAAAATTGTTCATCAAAACTGCCTAAAATAGTACTTTTACTTTAATCGTATTTTCATCGAAATTTAATTAATAATAAATTATCTTATCATTGAGTCAAGGATCATATCCGAATTTGTGGAAAATCAGCAGGGTTTTTCATGTATTTAAGAGTGGTGATAAGAGTGTTCTCAGTAATTATAGGCCAGTTTCAATTTTAAATTCTTTCTTAAAACTTTTCGAAATAATTATTTATAATTAGGTTTTTAATGCTGTAAAGTCTACAATTTCGCCAAATCAATCAAATCAACAGCCACAAATTTAATCAATTTTGTGCAAGACGGAAAGGAAGCCATTCACAACAGTAGTCAACTAGATATTATATATACTGATATGAGTAAAGCTTTTGATAAAATTGACCATCAGCTATTAATTGACAAATTGCACGATACAAATTTGGACAAGTCGCTAATTAATTTAATTCATTCTTATTTAATGGATAGAAAGTTTTTTGTAAAAGTCAATAACTTTACATCTTGTGATTTTTCTCAGTCCTCAGGTGTACCCCAAGGTTCAAATCTGGGCCCATAACTTTTTCTTTTATATATTAACAACTTGCCATTAATAATAAAATCATTAAATCTTATGTATGCTGATGACTTGAAAATATACAGTTATATTAATTGCGAGCACGATTGCATTAAATTGCAAAGGGACTTGGATTTAATATTAATTTGGTGTGATTTAAATAAATTAAAATTAAATATTTCCAAATGCAATGTTCTAACTATTACAAAAAAAGTGACACCAATTGTCTTTAATTATTCTATTAATAACATACATTTAAAAAGGGTGGATAGATTTAAAGATCTTGGAGTTATATGTGACTCTGAGCTTTCCTTTGATTCACATATAATCCATATGGTTAACGCTTGCTGAAAACTCTTGGCTTTATCGTTCGTAACACTCGTGAATTTGTGGATCTTACAGCAATTAAAAAGTTATTTAACTCATTTATATTATCTAAACTTGAATATTGTGCTTTAGTATGGTCACCTTTTTATAGTAATAAAGTCGAACTTATTGAAAGAGTCCAGAAGAAATTTTTACGTTACCTTAAATACAAAGAGACTTCTGAATTTGATTATTTAGCACATTATTCGGATTTACTTAATGAATATGACTTTATCGAATTGAAAAAAAGAAGAATGAATATAGTTGTTATATTTTTATATAAGTTGTTAAATAACAAAATTGATAGTTCAGCCTTTTTATCTAAGATTCCATTCAGAGTACCACAAAAAGCCACTAGAAACTGCGATCTATTTTATCTGCCAAAATCCAGTACTAATATGTTTATTATGTCACCTTTGTTTCAATTGTGTTACTATGGAAACAAAGTTGGTATGAGTTTAGATTTTTTCATTGCAGTTATAATAATTTATTAAGAATTCTACCCAATATTATTATTTAGTATTCATATCTTATATTTTGTTTGTTTTTAAAACTTATATTTTTTTATTTCTGTGTTTTTTGGTTTTGTGTTTTCTCTTTTTTTATATTTACATTCTCACCTATCCTGTAATTGGGCACTAGCCTGTTGGATTTGTAATTGAAATAAACAAATAAATATATATATATATATATAAAAACAGCGAGTTTAGAATGTATCTCTTTTTTAGAAAAATCATTCCTAAAATCAAAATAATTACCTTTAAGAAGCAGGCGAAAATATGGCAGCTGGGGGCCCGATAGAAGAAGCCCTACTTGAAAATCTAAGTATTTCCGATGATAATCGGGATAAATATTTTAAACTAGAAATATGTACATGGAATATACGTAACATGTTAATTGAAAAATTAAAACTGGAAGATAACCAAAATTGGCACATCATTGCACTTCAAGAAATAAAACAGAAAGAAATAATTGACATGAAAACCCAAGAATTCAAATCTGCGATATTTAAATATACTGATAAAGTAGGTTTTTTCATTCGTAAAAACTACTCCGATAAAATAACCATTGAATCAATATCCCCCCGAGTTTTATGCCTGGAACTGCAACTAAGTCCAACATGTAAAATTAAAATTATTAACGCATACTTCCCCCATAATGGGGGCAAATACACAGATGATGATGTTGAAATAGTATATGATGATATAAATAAAGCCCTGGAAAAATCAAACTGCCAACGTACGTTTATAATGGGAGATTTTAATGCAGAAGTAGGTGCACAAAATGATGAAGCGGAAAATTGCATAGGCAAATGGGGGCTAACAAATAGAAGAAGAAATCATCGAGGACAAATGCTTCTTAACTTTCTTCATCGAAAAAGGTTTTACCTTATGAATAGCTTCTTCGAAAATAAACAGAAGGAAAGGTGGACATATGTAAGTCCAGACAAAAAAACAAAAAAAGAAATTGACTTTATTATTACAGATGAAAAGGACATCGTTTTTGACGTTAAAATTGATGATTCCTTTAAGGGAAGCGATCATAGATGCGTCAGAGCATCTATTATAATAGATATTAATATATTAATAATTATTTTTAAACTCAATTACGATTTAAAATCATTATTAATACTAAAGGTTATAATAAATAGGATCATCGAATTTAACAGTAACCTTGTTTTAGTATTTATTAAAATTGAGTCATATGATGAAATACATGCATTAAAAGAAAAATGGGAAATAAAAAAAGGGCAAAATTTAAAAGTTAGGTTAATTGATAGGTTTAAATATAATATAGTTCTAATATCTCAAAAAAATGCTGACGCAATGGGAATGATTGAAGATTTAGAAAACGAAATTAAAAATAAAAGTATTACAATAAATGATAATTTTAAAGTAATGACAACTCTTAAAACCAATTTAAAATGGGAAGTAATAAAGTCCTATATTTACTTAGACCACGAATTACAAATTGAAAGAAATATCGACGAAAACGAATTTCAGAGAAGAATCGCCCAGGCATGGGTTGTTTTTGGATTCTATGGTAAAATACTTGAAGACAAAAGAGAAAGCCAACTGGGAAAAGGGGATATCTTTAAAAGGTGCATATTACCAGTTATCACGTATGGAACGGAAACCATGAGCCTCAATAAAAATTCAAAACTAAATATAAGAAGAAACCAAGCAGCAATGGAAAGAGCTATGCTTGGTGTGAGAATAGATAATCCCAATGAGGAAAGCATACAACAAACCGGTCTTGAAGATATTGTAAAAATAATAGCAACCCGAAAATGGAATTTTGCAGGGCAAGTAGCACGATTGCCCGGAGATTGGGCAAAACATTTTTTCGAATGGACACCTCCTGAAAGAAGACCTCAGGGGCCACCCCCAACTCGATGGGCAGATGATATGAACAAATATTTGGGAGAAGATTGGCTTGAAAAAGCCAAAAATGAAGAAGAATGGGAAAAATTGAAAGAAGGTTATGTAGATTATATACTAAAAATGAGTAAATAATAAATTGTACCCTTATAAGCTTAATAATTTCAAATACAAATATTTTTACAGTCTTTTCACCTAACAGATGAATAAAAATTATTAAAATCACGCACTAAGCACTTTGCTTTTGGGTATTTCCATGAAACCTTACCCCACCTTGACAAAAAATCAGATGTGTTATTTACAAAATAATAACTATATCTGAAGTCAAATAGTTTAATTGCGACGTAATTTATAACCTTAAAGTATTCGTACATTGTGATGCTAAAAAGCTAACATTAAGAATAATTTTAGAAAAAAAAGTATGCAATGTTTGTGCATTTAAAATACGTGCTTGTTTAAAAATTATTACTATATGCTTTAATCCGAAATTTTACAGTATCAACTTTAGAAGCAAACTTGGTCGCATTTGTCAATTTTCTAAGGTCGCGCCCGTTACAACATTGACATTGACATTGAGTTAAATACCTAATTTTTTATACTATTTTTTATATTAACGTATCTTGATATATATGAACAAACACTTTATTATCATGAAAAAACGCAGTTTTAGTGTCGCACCCGTTACAATGGCATTGAAGAGGGCCGTATTTAAAGCTATTGCTTTTACGATTTAAATAAATGAATTATACACGAATTTGTTTTTTTCTCTCATTCTCACAGAGCCATGGCAAACATAAAAAATTATAGTAATATGTAGTAATATAAATATAATTTTTTTGTTGAGCCAATTTGCTTATTTTGAACATAATTAACTTTTACACAGTTAAGCAATATTTAAAAAAAATATATATATATGTAAATATTTGTATATTTAAAATTGACCGGGAGGCCCATTTGGGTTGTTTTTTTTAAATCAATTTGCCCAATTTTTTAAAAGTAAGTTATACTCTAAAAAATCTTGTCTCAAAAAAAACTAATAGCCGTTTTTTACCCTCGTCTAAATTTTATAATTTTTATATTAAGGATAGCTCTGGGGCAGAAGAAGGCAGTAAACATATATTTTTTTTTCACCAAAATATTTATTTTTATCATACACAAGTCATATTTCGCACCACTCACATGTCCTGATTACGGGTTTCCAATGTGTTTGTTTTGGTCCTAGTAGTAGTAAATATATTTATTGGAAAAACCAAAAGGCTATCGACCGAAGTCTTTCTGCCTATTTTGGTCCTATATTATGTAAAAAGACTGTAGAAATTATATTACAAAGATGATTTTGACATTCTTAAGACAGTTTTATTAAGTTTTTGTTTTTTTTTGTTATTATTTGTTATTATTTTAATTAAATGTATTTTGTAATGTATAGGTAACCGACTTTTATTAATTTATACCTATAAAAACAAGATTTCAAGATTTGTCTTCTAAAGGTATTCAAAGAAAAAGCTACAGCTCCACAGGTATGTAAAAATATTGTAAACAATTTGTATATGTATATATATATTATCTGAAACTACTTGTATAATATCAGAAAAATGTTTTTTTATTCGTTACGATCATAAATAACATTATAATTTTATTTCGTGTAATTAATTAAATAGAGGATTGCGTAATAACAGAAGCTACCTCTTCTTCATCCTTAATTTCTTCTTCTTTGGATACTGGTAACTTGCAAACCGGGTTATATGGAATTTCAAAAATATCGATAGTGTCCACTGGGTATGGGACAGGAAAGATTCCATCTAAAAAATTAAATTTAGAAATGCAGTTTTCATGGTATGTATTGGATCTGCAGATTAATTCTAAATAAAAAAATAATTTTCATCTTTACTTCACTTTATACACAAATTCTGCCGGTTTTGACTTGATAAATTTTGGATGGTTTGCAGCAAAATTGCTTTTGACCAGTATAATCAGTATAGTAGAAGTTAGGGTCCAGAATTAATAAGTAGACCTTACATAAGATGTATATGTATATTTACGTGTATGGATTGAAAAAGGCACAGGCTTGTCCCACATATATTGAAAACTACCATAATCCATTAGATGTTTCGTGTTTAATAAAAAATCTAGAAGATCATACTCAGGGAGAAACTCTCTAAACATACCAAATTGTACCACAAGTATCGAAGATGATTTGCTACCCTAAAATTTTTTTAAATAATATTGATTTTTCGTTCTATATATACATTTTTAAAATATTAACCAACACTTTTTATATTTTTGAATCCATATACGTACTCTTAAATCTTTTGTTATTTGTTCCATGGACATCTCAAGCATTTGGTTTTTGAGTTCTTGTTCTTTTTGCAGCTCAATATCTTCAAGATTTTTCAAAAAAGCAGTCACCAACTCATACATTTTTTTAATACAGTTAGCTGTCAAGGTCATAGTTGTTTGTAGGTCACTCATATGATCTATCTTGTCAACCAGTTGACTTGGTAAACTGGTGAAGGTATAAAATGTATCGCAAACTCTCTGTAATTAAGTTTAAAATTATAACAAATAAATAAAATATTTCGAAATTAAAATTTATAAATATTTATACAAGGTGTCTATTTAGAAACGAGCAATGCTCTATACTATACTGTACACTGAAAGAAATACTAGGGTTAATAATTAATAAATATTTATTTGAGACGTTTTTATTTATTATAAATACTGCAAATTTACTATAAATCAATTTTATTTACTAACAATATATTCTGAAATTTAATATATTTTTTATAAAAAAATTATTTATTTGGATCGAATTTATTTGTTATTAATATACTAAATTTGTGTCAAATAAAATCGTTTATTAATTTATTGTAAATATAGACGTTATATTCGTATTTAGTTCACAGTTTATTAATAATAAATATTGTTTATTAATAGTTGCCAAATTTTCATTTCGTAAATAATGATTATTATAAATAAATCACATTTAAATCATATTGTTTGTAATAAATATGATATATTAATAATTAACAAATGGAATATCGTAACGCGTCGTTTTACCTCGGACGATTCACTTCACTTTAAAATGTCACGTAGTGGGTGGTTTACATCTTTGCATGCTGTGGTGGTGGTTTGTGCTCTGTTTGTGCTTTTGCATTATTTTTATATAATAAGGAAATTTGTATTGCGTATAAACTGTTGCAGTGATTGTGTAAGTACATAATAATATTTTTCTATGGTGTTGAATGCTAACAAATAGAAATAGATCCTTAAACATGGATGTTGACATGGACATAATAGATTCTAAACTTTTAAAGGTTATGAGTTATTAAAAAAAAAAATAATTGATGCCTTGTTATTTCGTTAAGTATTGGCTGATTTTTGTCGCAGTTTGTTTCAAGATGTTTCCACGTGTTGACTATCCCATGGGATGCATTAATAATAAATAAAGTATATTTACTATAAATTTACTTGTTGATTATTAATCAGATGACTTTAAAAAAAATCAGGTTATATTTATTATTAACAAATTTTTTCAGATAAATGAGTAGATTCTTTTAAAGTATTAGCAGATATCGCATGTGACGATGCTATGAATATAGTTTTAAAGGTTATATTATTATTTATTTTTTAAGTTTATTTTTGTGTTTTAAATAATAGGTCTATGAATATAATTTACAAGTTTAAATAATATTGGATTGAACAAGTATTATATTTTAAAAATCACCCAAACTGAAGCAAATTTTATATCAACATATCGTCGTCAACCTCACAAAGTGATTTATAATTTTAGAGATTTTTTTATAATTTTACAGGAGAAGATTTTTGCAATATTCAGGTTAACAAATTTTATGATTAATATATTATTATTATTACTATAGTAAATAATTAAGACAGAACTGTATTTGGATTAAATATGTATATATTTACAATAAAGGGGGTAGCGGGTTAAGTGGGGTCTGGCGGCCCCCACCGAATCTGGTAAAATCGTTCCAAAAATCTTGAAGAGGGTCGAAAAACAAGCAGTATAAGCTTTTAACCGACATTACAACCCCAAACGAAAACACAGTAATGGCGAAAAATATGATTTTTTGTGATTTTTATTTTTTTCAACCAGTTTAATTTATTTTTAAATGGTTTAAACGCAATTAAAAATTTGTTTTGGATGTATGGAAGTCCCCTGAATTTTTTCAGATTTTTTGGTCAAGTAAAAACATGTGAATTTTAGGTTTAAATGCGAAAAAATCGTGAAAAACGCGTCATTTTCAAGATTCAACCCTCTAATTTTTAGGGTTGTTTTCATTTTCCCGAGGGGTGCTGTATAGTATAGATAGCGGCAATCGTCCTCTTTTGAATGCAGGCAACTGGACTCAATTTGGTCAATTCTGGTGAGCGGGGCGATTTTTTGAAAAAAACTCGAATTTTCAACTTTCGGTAAATTACGGCGCGTACTTGGTATAATGCGTCTTTGCTATAAAAAATACATCTCTATAGAGGTTTTTGAGGTCGCTGATCACGAATTTGATGTCAAATTAATTTTTTGACAACAAATTCGCCCATAAATATTTATTAACACAGGTTTGATAATGTAAAAAATATTATTGAATCACAGCATTTAAACAATTTTAATATCGTGTTCAACTAATATAATTATAATTATAATCATATAATTATAATCAATGAAACTAAATTTTCTGGTATAAACCATATTTTATTCAAGCTTACGTAATAGTCACACAGTAATATAAATGAGCATAATACTTTTTTACAGAGCTAAGTTAACAATTTTACAGTTTTAATCCTCGTCACTATCTTCTTCAATAACATGTTCAACGCTTTGAACAGAGAAAAGATTTGTGAGAATCTGTGCTGGACGAATAATTCGCGACAAATATCTCGCATGCCCTAAGAAGTAATGATAGTGGCCACATGTGCACAACAACCGACAGTTCTGAGGCCATTCGCACAATCGCATACGTATTCTTCTATACCACTTCTTCCAATAGCGTTAGGAACGTATTTTACGTAACACCTGTACTTTTTCCGACTTATGTGCCTCGATTGAACTTCGCATTTCAAAATTAATTTATCTTCCAACAAGTAATGCATATTAAGAACTCCATCTTCAGTACATAATTCTGCTAAATAAGAAACGGTCTGTGATAACTGGTAAGACCCTGTAAAAAGTATCTTCAGATCTCTTTCTGTTAACTCCGGAAAGTCTACAACATCATTTGACGTTAGAGGTCTGAAGATCCTTTTTTTTCTGTTCCAGTTTTTTTCTTCTACCACTTTCGCTAAATTATTATTAACGTTTTTTCTGAGCAACATTTCGTTAGTGATCTCATCTTGTAATTCGCTATCACAATTGAGTCGTTTTCCGAACAAGTTAACCAGAAAATTCGCTATTTTGTAATAAGTTTTAGCTGATAGCAAACGTTTATTGTCAAACTCATAATGCAAGAGTTGGAATTTGCTGCCAATGATCCCATGAACAGCCTCTACTACCCATCTTAGTTTAGTTACAAATCGACTGTCATTCGCCTCTTGAGTCGTTAGTTGTTTCTTTTTTCCTTTTAACGCAGGCATCGTGATCAGCGACCTCAAAAACCTCTATAGAGATGTATTTTTTATAGCAAAGACGCATTATACCAAGTACGCGCCATAATTTACCGAAAGTTGAAAATTCGAGTTTTTTTCAAAAAATCGCCCCGCTCACCAGAATTGACCAAATTGAGTCCAGTTGCCTGCATTCAAAAGAGGACGATTGCCGCTATCTATACTATACAGCACCCCTCGGGAAAATGAAAACAACTTTAAAAATTAGAGGGCTGAATCTTGAAAATGACGCGTTTTTCACGATTTTTTCGCATTTAAACCTAAAATTCACATGTTTTTACTTGACCAAAAAACCTGAAAAAATTCAGGGGACTACCATACATCCAAAACAAATTTTTAATTGCGTTTAAACCATTTAAAAATAAATTAAACTGGTTGAAAAAAATAAAAATCACAAAAAATCATATTTTTCGCCATTACTGTGTTTTCGTTTGGGGCTGTAATGTCGGTAAAAAGCTTATACTGCTTGTTTTTCGACCCTCTTCAAGATTTTTGGAACGATTTTACCAGATTCGGTGGGGGCCGCCAGACCCCCCTTAACCCGCTACCCAATTTAGCATACCTATAGTCGTCAATCTTACAATCCCATTTTTATAATTTTACAGAAAAGTATTTTGAAAATTACTGCAATATTCGGTTTAACAATATGCTTCGATTAACATATAAAATTACAGATATAAACAATAATAATTTTATAGTATATTAAAGTAATACTAATAAATTATTTGTTTATAAAAAATATTTTATCTACTCCTACATTGACGAGCTGTAACTTTATGGCGTTTTATTGACGGGCTGAAGTTAACAACAGTGGCTTTTCGACATTTTACGTCACGGGCTGAAGTAAGCTTTATTATAAATTGGGAAAAAGTGAGGTTAAATTCGGGTGACAGTTGACAGATGTCAAAATTTTAACAAATAAAATTAGCTTTAAATTCTGTTTTGTGTTCGTCGTAGATAAAGTATAGTATGCAACTAGTTTATAAACTTCTCTAGACACTCGTTTTTATTAAAAACTCGCTCGCAAGCTTCCCTCGTGCTTAATTAAACTCGTAACTAAAATGGCGTTTATAAAACTTGATACATAATATAATATACTATATTCCGCCATTATCGAATAAATCCTTTATTTATTGTTAAACAACATCATTTATTGTAAATAAACTGTTCTTTCAGTGTCACACTGACAGTGTGGACATGTCAAAGATATTTCCAAACCTGGCCGTCCGAGTATTAGTGAAGACACTAAAATTTACATTTTGTTACGTGTGGAAGAAGATCCTTAAAGTGCTTCTAGCCTAGTCGCAGCTGAAAGTCAAGTCAGCCAACGCTCAGTATTACGTCTTATGAAGAAAGAAAAGTAGCATCCATACAAAATTGGACTAGTGCAGGAACTTAACCAAGATGATCCGGACCGTAGACTACAATTTTGTGAAACTATCCTACTAAGCTACCTTCTGTTTGAATGGTACAATCAACCGTCAAAATTGTAGGTACTGGAGCTGAAAAAATCCTCATTGGGTAGTAGAGGCAAATTCCCAATACCAGCAAAAAGTGAATGTCTGGGCAGAAATGGTGGAAAATCGGATCATAAGTCCTTTCTTCTTTGACAAGAATCAAGAAGTCTCTTCTTCCTACATTAGCAGAAATGTTTCCCAATGTGAATGGAGGTCCCGATGCCATTTAGCACATTTTTTAATGAATTTGTTTAAATAGATCCTGTATGTACCATGCTTTACATTAGAAAGTGGTTTATATGGGAAACGTCTTAAAAAAATAAATATTTTTGATATTTGCTACAAACCTGGTTGACATTATGGATAAAAACCAGTACTTTTAATTTTGGTAAATTTTCCCTGTATTTTGCAATATCTTTTAAATGTTTGCATATGGAGTTTCCAGACCCCTAAAAGAATTATTAGTACATGGGCTTACAAGTCCGATATAACTTACATCGATGATAATTACAAAAAATTTGGGATAGAACAGGAGAAACCCTGTCTGTCTTTCGTCGACAAGATTACTAGTATTTATTTCATAAATAATCTTCTCATACAAGCTTGCCAATTCGTCTGGTTCTTTAAAACAATGTTCTCCAATATAAATTAAACGATGTATGAAGGTTTCCTAAAATTATCAGTCAAATAAGATTACCAAATATTTTATATTTACTTACTCTTTTTAAGGCTTTGAAATTATTAAGGACCACATCGTATAGCGTCGTTCTTTTGGGTTCTTTGACACCAATTATTTGTTCAGTTTTGAAAACACTAAGCTTTACTGGGGAAAAGGGCATTTTTAGAAATAACCTTCTTGGTATAAGTTGTCTGTCAAAAGTATTAGTTGTTATGGTAAACAAAGGTTTAGATATTGATTAAACAAAGTGGGAAGTGATACCATGTCGCTCACTAAAAAGGCAAAAAAGTTATAAGAAGAATCCAACCCATGTAGAATTTTTAGTATTGGCCACTTATACTTGGAACTGTAAGTGTATTGCCAAAATCTCTGCCACGTGGTAGAAACTTTCTATGACGTGGAAGACTAAAATGGGGAACACTTGTTTAGTGTTAATTACGTTCCAACGACGTTTTTGAATTGTATACATATACACAGAAAAAAATCTAACATAGTACCAAGAACAGCGCTGTCATTGAATGCATTAAAATTAAAGCAATCTAAATTGTTATTTGCTCAATTAATTACTATTAAACCAAAATAGGGAAATATTTTGCCTAAATATCAAGGATTTTATTGGGTTAAATGTATACATAGTATAAATAAAATAGTAACGTTATTAAATAAATCAAATTAGTATTTAATGCAATAACAATTTAACATTCTAACAAATAAATATCAATAGATTTAGGAGCGATAACTTTTGTTGTTAATTTAAAAACAGTAAACGATTATAAACCAAGTGCTAACTACCTATTGGTATTATAGGAACTGTTATTCAGGAATACGGATTACAAGATCCCATTGGTTTAATGGCTCACCCATTCATGCTATGCTAGCGTTTTTTCTGTGTACGTTTATCCAACGTTGTAATTACGTTACTATAACGTGGAGGTATACCTAGTAGCCAAAACTTAATCATAACTTTACTAATCTTTATTTCTATCGCCGTCTCTTTCCAGCATATTTATTTATCTCTTTATCTTTGCTTTCTCTGACTAAACATTAAAGAGAACTATGAAATATATTTCAACTGTATCGCGGTAGATTTAGTTATTTTAACGTAATTTGAAGTTGCGATATCAGTTTTCGTAACTATAATGCTACTTGGGTTACTGGTCACAAAAGTATTTTTTTGTTTAAATCCAGTTTTCTTGAAACTACACTATATGTAGTTGGAGTTCTCTATTTAAGTGATATTTCTAACTTTGATTAAGTATTTTGGATCAAGTCCAAGACTTATCAAAACGTACACAACTTGCAAATTAGGTGAAATGTGTTTTCCAGCAAATTATGAATTATTAAATTATCTTGATCCAAATGTAAGACAGTTAGCTGTTTTTTTTTTATTTCGATTAATGTTTTTTTGTTTAATATGTTAATACATCTAACTGTTTTTTAAAATATGCTATTCGCTTATATTTGTTGGGTCAGTATGTTAATGAGGAGGTTAAATTTTTACAAGTTTATAAAAACACGGTTTTATTTTAGGTAGCGTTGTAAAAGTGTTTAAATTGATTGAAATATATCGCATAAATATTTTATTTAAGTCACAGTTGTTCTTTTATTATTTTTTACAGTATAAAAATATTTTTAAATAATTAAACTTATTTTTTAACCAATTAGTTGTAGGTATTTAACCATTAATATTTTACCTATAGATAAATAAAGGTTATTTCAAAAGTATAAATTGACTATAAATAAACCAAATATTTAACTAATTAGTAATATTACTTATAACTTAAAAAGTAGGTTATTTTAGTAGTTAAATAAATAAATTAACTAATAAATGGTTAAATCAACATTTTTTGCACATTCAATACAAACAACGTTTACTTGGAGTTAAAATATAAATGTTGTTTTAACAATCTAAAATTATTAAATATAAATTTCAGAAATTTATTTTAACCTTTAAACCTGTTTTTGGCCCAACCACTAAAAATATTTAAATATAATACACGGATTATTAAAATAATCTTATCGTAGGTAATATTTAATCAAATTATTATAAATATTAATTTAGTGCACAATTAGTAGTAAAATAATAAAAATGAGAGCAGTTTTATTCTTTAAAATTACTTGGATTAATAAATTTAAAGGTTAAAAAAATGAATTGTTACTTTAATCAAATAATTAAAATTGATTCAAAAAATTGTACTTAAAAAAGTTTTATTTAAAATATTGATTAATTAAACCAAATATAAATGTAACTAGAAAGATTGAATACAATATCAAATTTATTTAAAAAACTTTATAAGATAAATACAAATTCATTTGTACACAAAATAAAACATAATAGATTTAAATCAATTTTTTTTTACTTTTTTTTTAATTATTGTAGGCCAAATTTAAAAAATCCGATTTTTTTTTAATTTTTCTAAAAATTCATGATTTTTTTTAAACCTTGGTTATAACAACAAACAAAAGTTAAATTAAATACGTATACAGTGTATACTATACACCACTTAAATACTTATACAATACTGGATATGTATACACTACTTAACCGAAATAGTTTTTTTGTATTTCTCTTATTTCTTTAAAATCCTTATTCAGGACCTGCTTTTAAAATTTTGGCGTTAATATTTAAAAGCTTTTCCTCATCGATATCTTGTCTTACAATAAAGTTTTTTTATGGTAAAATAATATTATAATGATTTCATTGCTATAAAAGTTAATTATGAAACACTTAGTTTATTATGTAAGTAGATAATAAATTATTATTATTATTAGGTACTAATAATCATGTCACAAGCATGGTAACGCGAGAAAATATTACTATAAACTTAGCTTCGTCTTCAATTATTAGAAAACAATAATATTAAACATAGAGGCATTCTGTATTGTAAAAGAATCACACTTACCAAATTTTTTCAATGTAAAATTGCACCCAAACGACACAAGAACGAGCAATGGCGTGGTAGCAGAGATAGAGAAGAAGGACAGAACATACTGCGCTATATAACGACGTAATTTACAAAATTTAGGCAATTCATTTAAGTCTCCGTATGAGTTAAAATTAACAGTCTTACTCTCGCAGTGTTGTGATCCGTACGATTTTAATCGTATTTGTACGATTATCTTCATGTCGGTACGATGTACGATTCATTATGTCAAATCGTACGCATAAATACGATTTTTTGTCTTATAGGAGTTCTTTGTATTTTCAAAAATTAATAAATTTACTATTTTTAGTTGCATCTTTGAAAACCGAATTATTTTGCCCCGAAAATGAATTAGGCAACATTGCGATCATGTTTAGATTTTCAGTGCTGCCAACAAGAAGTGAAAAAATAAAATTTACCCCTTCGGGGTTTTCTATGACCAATACCATTTTATGTTTCTTCCACCACCTGTAAAAAGTATTTTATTGCATCTACAAAAAAAACTGGTTTGAAGAACTTATTCGCCAGCGGTTTGGCGCTGCGCGTGATGAAGATTAAAAAAATAAATAAAGGTGACGAAGAATTCTTAAGAAATACTATTTGCAAATTGAAATATTAAATTAAGATCAATAAGTTCACCAGTTACTTCATCAATATTGATGTTCCTCGTTCTATGACTTAAGTGTCTTTTTTTTGTAGTACTTAATAAAATGACTTTACAAAGAATAACTTGTTTCTATCACACTGAATAACGCCTTTGATAAACAGACAGGATAGGATAGGACGTATCGTAAGTAGGTAAACCATTGTTTATTACACATATTTTTAAGTATTTGAAATTTCCCAACTTTAAACAATAAATTTAAATACCAGGACGAAAAACTTAAATAAAAATTAATTTTTTTATATTTTTAAATTTTAATTCTGTTTTATAAAAAAATCGTATTTTAACTGTAAAAATTATACACCACTTTTTATCAAATAAAACTTTTATTTGATAAAAAGTGGTGTACGATTTTTACAGTTAAAATACGATTTTTTTTGGTTTTCCGTACGATTATTGTTTTTCCGCAAGTTGGCAACACTGTACTCTCGGTTGAATTATGTTTACATAAAAGTAATAAGATAAAAATGTTAACAAAATACCTTTAAATTTTAGAATAATTACTAAGATATGTTGACTCAATATTCTAAGTTTGTAAAGGCAAAATACCAAACAACATCGCTTCAATAATTTTACATATTCGTTTAATTTTTGTGTATGCATCCATTTAACTAATAGAAAAATGTTTAATCAAATTTCTTAACAATAACAATTGTAGTACAATATTACTTAAATGAATTAACCAGGCATTAATTTAACCTACTTGGGTATGATGGGTACTTTTTTATTGTAATGACATAAAAAAAATTGATAACTCGGTTATAAATAGACATGCAATAATGTACAAGGCATATTTTTGTGGAAAATTTTACCTGACCAAATTACGTTAAAACTGTTGGTCGTCAATAACTTTTTGTTGAAACAAAAACTGAAACCAAAAGTTCAATAGAAAGGCACGCGCAGGAATGCTAATCGCAAGCCAAACTATCAGTTTCTTTTTGCCGATATGAGGCGAATACAGAAGAAACGAATGTTTTTAATAAAAGTGTTACGGCTGCTCTTCATGTGCCAGTTCTACGTTTAGTTGTGTCAATGACAAAATGCGCGACTCTTGCCTCGTTATTCTAGCGTTGTTATGCTCTTTACACGCCACCTTTGCCAGGTTTATTTTGCCCTATGTGCCGGAAAACGTCGATCCGCCTCTGCCCTATCAAGACCGTAAGTACATCATTGTATCAGTTATTAAATTAATATAGATAATAATAAAGCGCCAGTAGCAAAAATTCCCATAAATATAAAAATTGTGACGCGCCTTACCCTTGTGCTTGGGATTGCTCTAATTGGTTATTTTATATCACGTGACTAAGGATGTGGTGGATGGCAGTTTATGTAGAGCGCGTGTTTTTGTTTTCATTCAGATTGTATTATTTAAAAATGTTGTCTGATCTTTTATAGTTTTTGTCTCGATTAGTAAAATTTATTATTTTATTATTGTGATTTAGGGGGGTACATAAACGTTACACAGGTAGAATTATTATTATTATTAAGCAACAAGTCGTATTGAGTTTCAATTAAGGTTAGGTTTTCAAAATACCGGTAATTTTTTTTGAGTTAAATATTTCTGTTTTTTTTTTAATTAATCATGATATATATGGGTAATTCTACAAAATTTGGGCAACTTTTGACCTCATTTTGTTTAAATAGTTTTAGGAGAAAATTAAATAGTATTTTGTTATGAGGACATAGATAATATAATAAATATACTGTTCCAGACCGGGCCAGTCACTTTTTCAAACAGTTTTTAAAATATCTGTATTTTCTAAATTTGAATGCATGAGTATACCAGGGTACTAATTAAATACATAATTTATTGGAAAATATAAGAATTATTGCAATTTTAAGCATATTATACATTAAATATCTTAAAATCAAATAATACCACACATCAGTGGCGGCTGGTGGATTTTGGGTATACCGATATCTCAATTATTAGATATGGGACCCACACCAAATTTATATGAGTTTATAATGACATTAAATAAACTAGTTCTGCGCAAGCAGAATTTAAATTGAAGTTTGCGAAAAAAAAACAGAAACATCGAACATGGAACTGACGACACGGTACTGATGAATGGGATACAAATTTGAGATTATAATTCCGAATTAAGTATTTTACTGAAATTTTTTATTGGTGGATGCTACTTATCAACAAATCACAAATAACCTTATATAAATTACAATGAAATATATATACAAGAAAATAACTACTCACCACAGTACTGAAATTTTGACTGGAACTATACGTGCATTCACCACAACTTCGCCGCTTGTATTGTTTTCAAGATGACTGTCGTGCAAAGGGCGGGCTCTGTAGGTAATTTTTTACCAACACTTGAGTTAAAACTAATTTAAAAAATTCAAATATTCTTATTTTTAAGTAAACGTAAATAAAGTTTAAACAAACAAACTATCCTTTTTATATATTTATAAGAAAAAACTAAAATCTTTAAAACAACGGCATATATAAATTTTAAATAAATAATATTATATCCAACAACTATGTGGTTTACCTACTTCTACATTTATTATTATTTAAGCGCATACAATTTTCTTCACACCATAATTGTAGTTGATTTAAGATTTAATATTTTTATATAATTTTATGTCATCGGCAAACAACAAAAACTTACAATTTTTAATACCACTCGCAATATCATTAATAAATAAATTAAATAGTAATGGGGAAATATGACATCCTATAGGAATAAACAAGGTTACTTCTGGTGTACCACTATAGTGGTACACCACACTGAAAGAAATATATGTTTGTTTTAGCATGTGGTAGTCCATATATGAAACATAAAATATATTTACCTTAACCATTTTTATATTTAGTTTTAACATATTATGTTAAAACTAAATATAATATATGTTTGTTTTAGCAATGCATGTGGTAGTCCATAAATGAACCACATAACAAACATATATTTCTTTCAGTGCAGAAGTAACCTTTATTATTTTGGGGTTTATATTGATTCTGTATCAAAAGTTTGAATTCTCGAGTTTAAATAACTTGCATTAGTTTTAGCACTAAAGCGCTAAAAATACAAACACGCTGTATAACGAATCAAAAATATAAATTTGAAATCACTATGCCAAAAGCGTGGAGTGCTTGGAAACCAATAAGAATGCGACAGTAAAAAATTATTTTATTTATACATTTTACAGTGCAAAGTAAACATGTTAAGATCCCACATAGGTCGCTGAGGTAGGTCTTCTAACTTCTCCTCGTATCTTAAATTTCCAACCAAACCTCTCCTCCATGTACAGTTGGAATCTCAAGTAGGTTTTCTTCAACTCCCTGTGGACCTCAACGTTTGCATAGCAAAATAGTATGGCCACCATGATGCCTTGCAGGGCTTCCATGCCGTACCGGAAGTACTCATAGACATCTTCAGCCAAACAACTGTCGTCGAACACCACCTTTTTGGCTGTGATGGCAAAGTGCAACCCAAAGAGAAATATGAGGATGAAGGTGGCTCGTAGGGCGGCCTTGGCCTGCCTAGAAGCGCCCCCTTGCTTCATCTTCGTGAAAATGGTCCTAAGAATGTCCAATAGGATTATCGCGTTGATCGTCATCACGCCAACTCTAAACCCGTCGACGATCCACTGCTCGTTGTTGGAGTCTGTCAGCCAGCAAAAGTCCCTGTTGTTAACCGCTTTTACCGTGGCCCATACCAACGATGGTGTTACCGAGAGAACCACAGACATGGCGAATAAGACGTACTTGTTTGGTTCCCTGGCGAAATTCCTCACGATTTCCTTGTGTATGTAAAACCCGTCCACCAGCATGCACGCGAAGATGCCGTTCTTGAAAACGTTCTCCAGAAAAGTCAGCACTCTGCAACCAACGCTGTTCTCAACCATAACATTCTTGGTATCCGGCACCAACTGATCGATGAGTATCAATTCCTTCGACATGATCGTCAGCACGTTCCTTATGACGATGGCGATCAGCAGGTTGCAGTGCAAGTTCATTTTTGTCATCGAGCGTAATTTGCTGACCCCCAAAAATATCGCAATCGCTGGAAAGGATATCGCGTTGGTGATACACAGCGTGTAAACGTTGAATTCGTGCCGTTTTTTGTAGTACGTCGCCAAAACGCACGTGTCGTAGTTTGTTTTATCCACCCATTTTGCTTGTTGATTTTCTTCGTCCCAGCCACAGGTCTTCTCGCTGTTTAAGTCGCAATGCGCTTCGAATGAGGAAAAAGCCTGCTGGGAACAGGATTTTTTTACGGTGGTGTTGACCTTGGTTCGCGGAAAGCAATCCCACGCATCCCAGATGACGGGACAGTACTCCGTCGTGGGTTCAATATTAATGTTGTTCATTTCATTTTCGCAACATGCTTCTGCAGATTTGACACAGTCCAGGTATATATCGAAATATTCGGCGGTTTTAAACAAGGATTTTATTCTATTTAGGCTTACTTCATCCTTGTAATCAAAAGATGCGTATTTTGGTTGCGTTTCCAATAGATAGATTGGATCAGAATATGGTTCCTCACAATAAGTAACAAGTAGCTTATTTTTTACCTTAAACCTATCCTTATTAGTATATTTATAACAATAATATCCTGCCCAATGGTTCCAATATGCAAAATTTATAATACTATCACGTATATTACAGTTTTTGGTATAATTTTTATCTTCCGGACAATATTTAATTGGATTATCTTCAACTTGAGAATTCACTTTTTTTGCAATTACCAATACAATAAACACACTCCACTCTACAAAATTCATCATTGACACTAAATATTAATTGTTTTGCATGCTTTGATAAAAGAAGATTATCTCGCCATATTATCTAAATATAATAAATTATTGCAATAATATATTTTTTCAAGAATAAAGGCTTTATCAATTAATTATCATTTTAATCTCTATAAACAGCAGATAGGTAATTTTAATCATCTCAAACAATGGTTTTGTGTGAGTAAAGGTTTATTTTAAATTAAGGGGAATTTTTGATTTGGCGATCGGAAAAACAAGATTTTTTTTTAGAAACATATAATATTATATCACAATGAATTGATTTAAAATTAAAAGGTCAAGAAGTCGTCGAAAATTTTCCTCGTTTTGGTTGTTTATTAATGTCCTCAACTGAAGTAAAGTAAGAAAACGGTTCTTAAAAATCATGAACTAAAAAACCTCACGAATAAGTTTGCGCAATTTGGGTTGAAGCTGAATTTTCCTTAAGTAAGCAATTTGAACGATGAAGACTTTGGGCAACAATGAAATGGTTAGGTCTATTAGAGTTAGGTCTATTCCTAGCCATTTTCCATGGTTCATCTAATGCCTTTCCTCTTTTTGCGCTAATTTCCTTTATTTTCTTTTGTCTTCCCCTTTTTCTTTTGCTAATGGTGTACTGTATTTGCAATACCTGAATTACAGCTATGATCAAATGAATTATTGTCTTACTTTTATTTATGCAATCCTGCTTAAAATTAGTTTAAACATAAGAAGCCATTGAATAAAATTGTGATTCTATTAAATCCGTATTAAAACTTAGTTAGTTAAAACATAAAATATTATTGAATTAAATTGTTATTTAATGAATCTTAATGAAAAACTATCATTGGCCTAAATAAACTTATGGTTTGTAATGAATGGCTACATTAAATGCAATCAAAGCTCTTTCCTTTAAATATGTATATTCTTGTGCAAATATTAGTTGTATAATACATTAATATGAACTTTAAATAAAATGAATTCTGGAAACTGCTTCTGGTAGTCTTCTGTACAAAGTTTTTTCGATCCATAAAATGAAATTGTTCTGTTTTCTGTAGGAACTATTAGGAACCCACTAGAAGTGTTGGTGATATTAGGCTCTAAGAAAGTTGCTGACCCATCACTAGCAACAGTTACTGTACTGGATGTGCAGGATCTGTCTGCCATGGCACATGGTTATTCTAAAACGAAATAGGAATTTAATGTTATGTATTTAAAGGCGAATCCTAAAGATTGCTGAAAGTCCTAAAGCAATATATACTTTCAGGACGCCCTGCAAGGATATCATGATGGTACTAAAAGACTATGAGAAGTTTTTTTATAAATAAATAAAAACTTCGCCTATTTAAGCAAAATAGAAATTTAAAGGCATGACACCGAATATCAAGATAAACTGTGTCCATGGTATATACCTATATGAGTACATGTGCACATGTTTTGTTATTATTTAGATGTAATTGAGTAATTAAATTACTGGATAATGCATGGCGGACATACAATTAAAAAACATGTACAACTTACCTTGAAAATTCGGGATTAGGAAGTACAACCCCCAAGAAATTAGCAAATATAACAAACAACCAAACACTACCACACCCAGAGATAACCCATACACTTACATCAATCGGCGTTACCAGAAATACCGATTAATCAGTTGATCATATTTAACTATAGGCACGTACGCGATTGCAGGTTGCCGATGTGTGGTGTGGTAGGGGATGCCCTGGCGCGTTTGTCTGAATTTTAGCAATCATTAAATTGAATATCTATAGGCTGCATTGAAAAAATGGGAATGATAATTGGGCAAATGCCAAGTATTTTTCAAGACAGTGAAGACATTGGTATTCACTGTAAGACAGTAATAACTTACTTTACCTTAGTTTCCATTGGAATAAAAATCATAAACATTAAAAGAAACAAAGACTATTCTTATTTAATTTGTTTTTCATTTTTGGTTGAAGCATTATAACTTTTAATATAAATCAATGTTATATTTAATTAAATATTGTTAATTTTACCTTGATGAGATAAACTTTGAATGCAAACATTTCTAAAATCAAGGAAGTACACATTTCCATTAGGTTTAAATCTAAAGAGCATTTCACTCTATAACAAGTAATTTTAACTTGATAATATTTTGTTATGGGCTTAATATAATATTTGTAATAACATCAATCCCTTACCCTCAATCGAGGAGCAATTAGACAAAACCAGATGAGTCCATTTCGACTTTTTGAATGATTCCTATTTCTTTTATAAATCCTTTGGAAATATCTATTTCAAGCTAAACTTGTTATCATATTATATAATAATTATTAGTATTTATATAATATAATTATTTCAACTTGAAATTGACTTTTCCAATAGGAATCATTCAAGAAGTCAAAATGGATTTTTCTGTTTTTGTCTGATTGCTCCTCAATTGCTCCAAACATATTTGATTGGATAAACTTTAACTTTTATTGGAGAAATGAAAAAACAATCAATTGTTAAGCATTGTTATTGACTATATCAAAGCGTTTTTTCTGCGTATATGACTACTGAATATTTTTAGCGGCCTTTCAAAACGATGTTGACGATGTTCCTGACGATTACTTCGATCCCGAGGTGGCCCCAGGTCTGTTCCAAGGCGACATGGCGATGAACGACGAAATTTATAACTACTGGCGTGTCGGGATCAGATGGGACACATTTCCGGAAAAATTGTGGAAAAACCGGACTGTACCATACGTGATTAGTCCCCTATATGGTAAATATTCTCGAATTTTAACTTTAAAACGTTTACAAAAATTATTTTGGTTAGACGCTTCCGATACAGTGACGATATACCAGGCCATCCGTACCATCAATTTCATGACGTGCGTGAAATTTGTGCCGTGGAACGGAAAAAGCAAGGATTACCTGCTGATTTGGCCCATCAAGTACCCGAGGGGTTGCTGGTCGTTTGTGGGCCGGTTCGGCGGGGCCCAAATTGTCAGTTTGGAGCCTCCAAACCAAAGAGGGCCGAACTGCCTTGGAACAGAGGGTGTGTATAGTAAACTAAACCACCCACACAGCACATATCGTCGTTTATCTGACAAAGAGGCGTATCTCATTTTTAAACAAAACGGTGTGAATTGAATTACGCCAGTTTGTACGGCACACAAAATGCAAAAATATTAGTTACGCCGAAACTGATTTATGCTAAAACTTTATTTGTACCTATTTATTATAGAGCTACGCCAGTTTGTGAGATTATAAAGTCGATTTTGGTGATCATTCTGGTATAACTCAAAAACGATTTTTTTTGAGTTACGCCTCTTTGTCAGATAAACGACGATATATTCATTGGACGTCCAGTGGACGGCCATTGTACATCCAAACGTCCAATGTAAGTCCATTTGACGTCCATTTGACATCTTGTGTTGTATGGGCAGATTTAAACTTTTTTAACTCGTCGGAACAATTTCCTTTTCAAGTAATTGTATTTCATATTTCAGGAAGAGCAATACATGAGTTAATGCACGCACTGGGTGTGTTTCACGAACAATCCAGGTGGGATAGAGATAAATTTGTTAAAATACATGAAGAAAACATCATACCAAGTGAGTTATCAATGACTTTCCCACAAAGTCAAGGTTTCAATGGTTATTTCTTTTTTAGAATTCAAATCAAATTTTGACAAGCAGAGCCTGGAAAACACGACTTACAGTTTTGAGTACGACTACGACTCCATAATGCATTACGGTGCAGGTTTCTTTAGTAAAGAAAAAGGAAAACCTACCATCACAGCAAAAATGCCTGGAGGCAAGAGGATAGGGCAAAGGAAAGGCATGTCGAAAGGCGATTGCCTGAAACTAAACGATCTCTATAGTTGTTTTGACAACCCTAAGAAAAGAAGAAAGTATTATAATGTATGTCAATATATGGGTGTGTAATTAAATTATTTATTATCTAGTATAATTGTTTTTGTATGTTTTTTATTTTCCTACAACCCAAGTAGCATTATAGTCACGAAAACTAATATCACAACTTCAAATGAGTGACAATTGCGTTAAAATAGCAATATCAAATTACATCACCTAATTATTACTTGAAGTGGTAGTGGTAGTAGTAGTAAAGTTTCCTGAATTTTTCCCAAACCTTGAATGTGGCAAAACTTGATTAAATACAGTTAATTTTTTTTTATTAAATTGGTAGTTTATGCCAGTTTGATTTAGTATTTAAAAATTGGTACTTCTACTTTACCACTTTAAAGTTTCCTTCCCAAATAATCGCCATTGTAGGAAAATAACCTTATATCCTTTTTCTATGGAAAATAATTGTGGAGTTTTAAACAAATAATTCAGGTTAGTGCCGCACCAAATTTAATACGTTAATACCACATTATTGGTTTCAGGTGATTATATCCCGCGTGTTGTTTTAAGACCCCTTAAAAAACTCAACAAAGTTTTGTATAAGATTTTATTAAAAATATTATGTCATCAATTCTAAAACAATAATAATAATAATACAAATATAAACGTTAAAAATTAAATGAAGGTAATACACTATCTGGTGGCTTCATAACCAGGAAACAATAAAAGAAGGGCTTCACTTAATGGCTCATTTACTTTGATTATATATTTTTCTCCCAAATCAAATCGGCAATAAGGACAAGTGTAAATTTTTGACGAAAAAGATCTTTTCAGACAAGCCTGAAAATTATTTATTTAAAACCAAGTTTTTGATTGCTTTAACCTTACCTTGCAAATGTTGTGTTTGCAGTCTGTTGTGGATGGCTGATGGACAACTTCCTGGCAACAGATGCACATAAAAACTTCCTCAACTTTCTCCAAAAACTTCACTTTGCCATCCTTAACGTTTTCCTTGCATTCGTCCCACAACTTTCGGTTTGTTTCGTCTTTGGCGATCAAACCCGAAACTTCGGGGGTTAATTTGAATTCGGATACTTTGGATTTTTTCGGAGTCGAATTGAAAAAGTCCGTCATAGTTTTTAGGCTGGCGTCCTTCTGGGCCTTACGTTTCGTCCCCTTTTTGGCCGCCTCTTTGGCGGGGGATTTCGATTTGTTCTCCTTTTTTTGCTCGGCCGCCTCCTGGGCTTCCAGATAACCGGGAGGATACTAAAATGTATTTTGTTTTATACTGCCATTCAATATAAACTAACGATTTAAAATAAAAAAATAACTTACAATCAAGTCAAATTCTTGTCCACCTTGCTCCCAAGGCGCTGATGACGCATCATCCCTTCTAAGTAAATACCTCCAAACGATAAATCCCGATTTTCCTTTCTCCGGATAATACTTTAAAACCTTGTAAATTCCATCATATCTGTTACCCTCTTTGGGAGCGTATTTGGAATGTTTGGCCAGCTTATAATTACGCACCACCCTCACAGGTTTACCCTTTTTCCAATCTGCAGATTCGGCGCCTTCCTTATCGTTGAATTTGGCGTAGCAATTTAAAGCTAGCGCTCTAAAAAACTTGCTTTAAATGTTTGCCAAAAATTTAGTAAAAACAAATTTTTGGGTATTACTTTAATACTAAAGAAATTGGACCATAATAATAATAATAAGTCTTAAAGAAACATTACTGAAACATACAGTGTAGTTTAAGAAAAATACTGTGCGAAATTAGTGCAAGAAAAACCAGTGTACCTGTTGTTAATAGAAACATTTAATTAAATAGCAATCTTTAACAAGTGAATATGGTGAATAACAGAGCTCCCACGGCTAAATTACAAATTTTATTTAAAAATATATCTGAGGTATATACAAAAGTAGTATTTCACCACACGTTTAATTTTATTTAAAAAACGTCGATAGATATTGCTAAAAAACTAGGCCAAAGTCAAATGATAATATATTTATATTTTGAGGAAAAAAATGTTAATTGTTTAGTTAATAACTAACAATAATTGTAATGTGGATCTTGTTACTCAAAAATCTCATAATAGAAAAAATATAAAGTTTGCGTAATACAGATAAACATTTTTTAGATTGTTTACTATTTTAGCTATCATTTAAAAAAAATTAAAAATCCTTTTTTTTGATATATAACACGGTATATTTTTGTCGTAAACAAACGAAATATGGCTAAAAATGACAATTTTGTAGAAGTCTAGGAGCTACTACATGAATTTTGTTTTTTAGGAATATTTTGTTGTTTTCTAAGAAAAATGTACATAGGTTGTGATATATCATTTTAAAAAGAATTTAATAAACTAGAACCTAAAAATATATATTTTTTAAATTACTTTTTTAAAAAGATTTTTTGAGCACAACTACCTAAACGCAGTCAGGTTGGCCTATTCTGAATCATATAGGCTATTCATATTTAATTTTTAGGAGATTGATAGCAATTTTAGAAGTTCTTAAGATTTAAGTCAAATTTTAGGAATTTTATTAGTTTTAGGAGTGTGGGGGCAAACCTGGAGATCTAACCCCAGGGCAATAATAAACAACCAGTTCCGATATTTGCCAAATTTTTATTTGATTCCATATATCGTTTTTTTGTTTATGGCCAGAGATACCCTACAATGGCCACACTATGGAGCAGTTAGATATGTAGTAGTTTTAAAACCAAAAAATGTTGAGCAATTACTTACACCCCTTTGATTCTAACCACCTCAATTATTATTTTTATTTTATTTAAAGTTTTAGCGTATGTTTTCATAGTAAAATAAAATGTTAATTATTCACTTACCATCAAAACAAACTAAAGAACTGTCAAATCTAATACATCTTTTAAACACAATGGTTTCAAAGCCTTCTTAATTTATTTACTTCTGTACCCACTTTAAAGCTTAATAAACATTAAAATTTAATTAAGAATTTGAAAGCGATATTATAAAAAATGCATTAATATTTGGTATCAAATTTAATAAAAAGTGGGTTTCTTTTATGACCAACGGTTCGTTATAAAAAAATAGTTTTGGCATAAAGTATGGTTTTTCAATTTTTGAAAGCTCCTGCAAAAAAAGAAAAAAATGTATTTTTTCCAGACTACTTGCCCCAACATGAAGCAGAAAAGCCAATTCAAGGCACTCTAGATATAGAAATAAAATTTAATCAAAAATGATTTTACCTGTCAAAAATTGACAAATGACATATGTATGTATTCAGAATTTTATTTTGAATCGAAATATGTAAAAATGCGTAGTAATAAAAAAATAATAATTCCGAAACGACGAATTTAGCCAACTCGGTACTAATGGTGAAAGTTGTTCATATTTATTAACTTCAACTTCAACAAAAAATGTAACGATCGAAACATTTTTGGACAAGTTATCGCATTTTCAAGAAAAAATGTCACTTGTAAAAAAATAGATCTTTCTGTCCATTTTTCAGAAAAAAAGAAAAATACGGTCTAATCGATTTCGGTGGAGAAACTGTAAAAAAAATTTCGTTGAAAAATACCGACCGATTTGAGTTGGAAAGGCCCTAAAGAAATTAGAAGAAGTGATCCAAAAAATGTGTCTGCACATGACTTACTTGTTCATTCTGGTGAGTTTCTGGTCGCAACTCTGATCGTTGACTCGTTTATTCCCGGACAGGTCTCTACCTCCCGACCCGGTATAAAAAAACTCTTCCCCGTTGTCGACATCGTCCTCGTACCCCCCACTCAACACCAAACTGTAAGCGCCATCTGTTTCGCGACCGTGGATACCGGCCACATGAGGCCTGTGGATGCCAGCTTCAGATACCTATATATATATAAAAGTCATTTCAATAAGATCACCAAAAAAAAATGTAGCTTAAGTTGTGTTAAAGTTTAAGCAAAACCCAACATCAGCTGTCTTTGCCGAGTATATGATTTTTACCCCAGTAGCAATTTTGGAAAAGCATTGTCCAAGCATGGGTCAAGATACTTGGAACAGATTGTTGATCAAGAATTGTACAAGAATTGGTCCAGATTCTTGATCAAGATCATTGGGCAAGACTTGGGCCAGACTGTGGCCATAATTTGTCAAGAATTTGACCAGAAGTCCGAGACCATCTGTTACTAAAGTTAGGGACTATCCTATAGAGTAGAGGTTCTCATTTTACAGTAGTTTCATTCACAATTCACAATTGTCGGCTTTTCAGTTTCTCGCGTCAAATTCTGGTCAAAGACTGGCCCAAGTCTGGAGCCAGTCTGGATAAAGAATCTTGGTCAAGTGTCTTGATCAAGAATTGTCAAATTGTTTATAAAGTGCTTCTCCAAGTATCTTGTTGGAGAATCTTGTCCCATTCCATTGCTACTAGGGTAATGAAGTAACTCTCATTTCTTTGAGATTTCCGCAAGTACTGATTCACCTGCAGCCTAAACTTCCAGCAGGTGCCGACTTCTACTCCGGGTACGGGCCCGTAGTGGTTCTTGGAGACGATGGTGCACTCCTTGGTCCTGCCCACGCAGGCCATGCCCTTGCCCCAGTCGCGCTTAGCGTCGCCCTTGCTGCTGGCCATCTTGGCCTTCTTCTGGCTGGCCTTGAGCTTCTCGCCGGCCTTGACGATGGCGCTGTCGTCGGTCTTGCACTCGGGACAGTACCACTCCTCCTCTTCGGGCACCTTCTCCAGCGGCGGGTCCAGACACGCTATGTGATAGCCGTAGTCGCATTCGTCGCACAGGATGATCGTGTCGCAGCTGTCTTTGCCCGCGCATACGCGGCAGCCGCACTCGCGGCACTTGCGGCCTTTCGCGTCTTTGCATTTATCGCAGTTGAACGGATACTTTCCTAAACAAATCGCCTATTTTAAGGAGGAGTTCCACTTTTTGAGACAATGCAATTTTTACTTAGAAAGATACCAGATGAGCATACAGAGAACTAAAGTAAAAACCACGAATATATGAACGTGACTCATCAGGCACAACCGTACGAAGCAATCTATCGAAGGTCACGGTCCAGTGCAGTGCTGTTCTAACGGGGGCATAAGTATTTGTAAAAAATCTTGAGTGTAATGTTGGTTGCTATACTTCTGATATATTTGCTTTTAAACGGCCATTCCAAGCCCATGGACAGGACACATCAGAAACATGTCTAAATATATTCTTGTTACTTCCTTAAGTTTACTTATTTTTTCTACGAGTATTTATGAGAAGTATTAGCCAAATTTGGCTAATACTTCTCATAAATACTCGTAGAAAAAATAAGTAAACTTAAGGAAGTAACAAGAATATATTTAGACATGTTTCTGATGTGTCCTGTCCATGGGCTTGGAATGGCCGTAAAGTTAAATTTTAATAATTAACATCTACGATAATTAAATAAAATGTATTTTTCTTAGAAACTAATTAATAAATAAACTTTTCTTTTAACTTTAAATATTTCAGAATTGGTGACAAAAAGCAAAAATGTTTACGCAGGTCAGGTACAAAGTGAAAGATATTTAAATTGTGTGGATATAAAAACAACTTGCGTTAGTTTCACGAAATTTATTAAATATTGACAATTGCTTCGCTACACAGTAGCTTCTTCAGAATGTATTAAACTAATACTAGTACAAAATTCATATAATAAAAATATTTTTGTATTCTAGCCTAGAATTTCTAGGTAAGGATTTTTATACGACATCTACCTGTGTTACATAATATAAACCACTCCCACTACAACGTTTAAAACGATTATTAATCCGTACACACACCGTTTATTTAAAGTCCAAAAAACGTACAATAACAATTGCAATAAAGTCCAATAAACGTGCAATAACAATTGCAATAAAAACCACTGGCACTACAACGTTTAAAACGATTATTAATCCGTAAACACACAAGAGGAACACGATATGCACAAACAAAGATCATATGCATATGACATATAAAAACAAATGGCCGACGGTAGAGTTGGTTGCCTTACTATGTAATAAAATAAAATAAATTGCCTAAAACACGAACTCTACTGAATTCCAACAAAAATAAGTAACAAGCTAGGACACGCGTCATATGTCCATCTTTGTTTAACACCTAGGCAGTTTTACATCACAGATGGCGCATTTTAGACCGGATGCTTAAAAACCTACGTGTGAGTACATTTACCGCTGCATCGAATGTACAAGACAAGTAAAAATTACTGCTAGCATGTCTGAGATATGTTCGGCACCCGATGAGTCACGTTCATATATTCGTGGTTTCTACTGTATAATAATAATAATACTAATAAAACGACTTTATTTGACATAAAAAGTATTACATCAAAAGGGCGAATCGCCACTTAACCCTACTATTCAAAATTTATATTTATTTATATAAAAAAACAAAAACAAAATAAAACATGGTAACTTAATAATTAAAATAAGATATTGTGTAATACAAAAATAAAAATCAAAATTACAAAAAAATAGTTTAATCAAGAACAAATCATAGTGAAAAATAAATTCTTAACAAAAAAAAATTAAAATAAAAAAGAATAAATATATTATGCATTTTGCTTCTCAAGGAATTCAGTTTTCAGAACAAAGCGAAAGGTATCAATAGATAATTTTGCATTTTTAAAACATATAAGTCTTAACTGAGAGATAACTGAAAGATTATCTCTATAGTGTATTTAATTTAACAGGGTTGCCGCCGATTTGTCTAAACCAAATTCCCTGACTTTTCCAGGAATTCCCTGACCTTCCCTGATTTTTTTTCCAGACAAAATGTGTTTTCTTTTTGGTTTCCTCACCCTCAATGATTTTTTTAACTGGACTTTGAGTGTTGGTTTTTAAAATTTTAAGTATGGGGCCATTCAAGTATTACGTAAGCAGTAATTTTGTCATTTTTAACCCCCCCTTTCCTTTGTCAGCAATAGTAAGTAAAGCTTATCATTAAAAATATACAAAAAAATCAAAGCAATCAAGCAAAGACTACCCCCTTTGGTGCTTATGTAATACCTACTTGAATTTTTCTCTTGGTGGAGAATTATAACGATTAATTAAAGAACTAAACTTTTATTGAAGTTTATAAAATTCAAAAACATTAACAAAAAATCAACTTCTTATTAAAAAAAAAACTAACAAAAAATTTTTTGTAGCTAATTTAATAAAGAACTAATGTCACAAGACGTCATTTTGTCACAAAAGTTCTTATGACATGAATATCTATATTGCAAATTTTCTTAAAAAAAGAATAATTTTATACCTTAAATTTAATTTGGTCGAATTTTACTTTACATATAGTTGGTATCACAGTCATAGGTTTGACAGTTAATGTCAAAATCGATTCGCCATGCCGTCCTTAATTTACTTATTTACAATATAGCCAACCTATAAAATCAAAATTTTGGGTGGGGTAAAGTATCTCATTACAGTACCGAAAGCGGTGTTATAATGAAGTCACTATGAACGCAAAATAGATAGAAAAAATTAAAAACTGTTCTACATAAAAAATCTCACTCACATTTAATAAGGAATGTAGTCGAATAATTAGGGTTATGTAGGTATCTCAATTTAATGTTAATTTCGTCTTATTTCCTGAAAATCGCTTGGGAGTAAAATTTAATAACAATAAAAAACTTTTCTGTGGAAATTTTAATTTATTTTACAAAATTTTGATGTTTAAATACTTAAAACATAGTAAAATCGAAATATTGCAATACAATTTTTAAAAAACAGGTAGATATACAAATTTGCATTTTGAAACTAAGGGAATTTTTATTTTTTTGAAAACCACTAGGTATGTAAAATATTCCCATACAACTGCTGTACTTACTACCTAATATTTAATGGGCACAGTATACTTAAGACTTAATACTTTATACTTTTGGTTCTGATTTTTGGCACAAACGTGGCAGAAAAATTTGCAATTTTTGGGTGGTTCAAAATGCAAACCAATGCAAGACATATGAAACATTTTTATTCTGCACTAAAATAAATAAATTACAATTTAAAGCATACTATAAAACACGTTTTAAAAACTTACATTTGGACCTCCGCACGGAACCATTTTACTCTTGTTAAAATTATTTCTGCAAATGCAATGTCTTGTTACGTCTATAGACATTTTTTAAGTCTGCAATTTAACACTAAAAAATACCTTATTGTAATAAACGTAGTTATCTTTGTACAGAAGCAAATTATAATTTTTCGTAAAACATTTACATCTAAACTATTAAAATATACTTACCAAATTGTTTTATTGTTGGAAATAACTTCTATAAATCACTTTCCAGAGGAAAAAAACAAGGAAAACAGCCTGCTGCCTCACGACGCTTGCGTAGCTTATTTCAAGATGGCCGAGCTTAACACAAACCAATCATGCGCACTTCCGTTGAAAAAATGCGGCAAATTTAAAATTTTGCATTTACGTAATTTTAGTGAACAATTTTGCATTTTACGCATTATGGGTTTTGATTTAGTTCATTAAATAAGAAATTTTATTTTATTCCACTTTAAAACACCAACATTTATAGCGGAAAGAATTTCTGTTATATTCGTAATTTAAAGATGGCCGGCTTAATTTAAAATTTGTTTATATCTTAGAGGTTATGTCTTCTAATGTTTACATTAACTGCGCATGCTCAGTTCGGTTTTGGTCCTCGTGTCTGTCGGTTGCTCTATGAAAGAGTATTTGAAAAATAAGTGACTTCTCGACCCAGGAGAGGACTCCCAGTGTAAAAACAAACTGGTTTTAACCAAGAATTTGCAAAAATATATGGAAATAATTAAGAGATGGATCGGATGATTGAAGATTAAAGATAATTGGAAAATTCTGTGTATGAAGCCATGTGTACATAGTGAAACGAAAAGATGACATGGTTCTATAAAATTTAATAAATAATTAACAATATATAAATGATTCAAGGGATGAGTTAATCTCAAATTCTTTTAAATAAGACCCTTGATCATAATAAAGAAAATTTAATAATATAATGTGCTGGCCAAATAGCTTTTAAATTAAGCTAAAGGTCATTCCTCTGAACACAGAATTGTGTTCAGAATTAAGAAGAAGAAGAAGAAGAACTGCGCATGCTTGTTTATTAAAAAAGCCTTCGCAATACCAGATGAAAAAAGCGGCAATTTTGAGGTTAAGTTAAGTTATGTTTAATATTAAACACTTAAAAAAAAGCAAGAAGGTAAAGTAAACAAAAAAAAATTACAAATTATTTTTACTTACTGACTGGAGGCTTTTTGGGCACCCTTCTTTCTTCTCTCTCTGTTATTAAAGCTTTCTCCTCAATTCTCATAATTTCATCGATAAATTTCAAAGTACAATTTTCAATTGGAGTTTTATCTTTGCCAACAAAAACTGTCCCATTTACTGTTTTATTATTAACTGTCACTATCTTAAAATCAAACCTGAAATTCAAATTAAAAGATCAACAAAACCATAAACAATATTTTTTACCATGGTCCTCGAGTTTTAGGTTCCTCTATGTTGTAGTTCACCAAAACAATCATTTCTTCTTTTAATTCATTCGTTTTGTATGTGTAAAAGCTTCTGGGTCTGATTTCTTTATCAGAAACATTCATTTCAAAGGTAGTAGCAACATCATCATCACTAAAATAACATGTATGTAGCAAAAAATACATACCTAAATTTAAAACCCACCCTTTTACTTTATACACGAATTCTTTCTCTGTTTCATCGCTTTCTTTCATTAAAACTTCTTCAATAACAGATTCATACCAAGCACCGTTTCCATCATGAATAACATCAACAAAATCACCTTTTTTGTAGTATAAACTCTCGCATTCCACTAAATTTTCTTTATCTTTAGTTTTTTCGTTATTTTTCTCTTTTTCTGGCTCCTCACTGGGTTCCCTAGGCTTCCGTATCATTAGTTGTATCACATCATTTAATTGTATATCGTAATCCATAACTTTATGGTCGTCTATCAACTAAAAAGTTAAACATAAATAAGTTTACTGAAATTAGTTATATAATTCATAAAACCACCTGTTTTCCTTTGTACAATAGAAGTTGTTGCTCTGCTTCGACATTCATTTCTTGTAAAATCATTTCTTTTAATTCTTGAATTAGAGCCATTTTTGAAATGTTTATAATGGCATCGCCTTCGCCTTGTGGGGCCCCCAATTTCCTTATTTTAATATACATTTCAGTAAAATTAACCGTTCGGCACAACACAACCTCTTTCTTGTGATGAAAAAATGTAAATAAAGAATGGCGGGAAATCCATTCGGAGAACTTTATTGTAGGCAACCCAGATTACAGCATAACGTTTCATAATTTATTACTTGTAAGTTTTATTGATACTGCTCGTTTGTAAATACTTTTCATTGGGGTGACCTGAATATAAAACTTCAACCCGTATACCTATTAACAAAAATAGTCACGCGAATATCCCATAAACGCAAAAATAATTAAATCTTCGTCATATTTTACCTGTAGGTACTGTTATTAAACACAACGTCTAGTTTTTATGCTTATGTACCTATCTATGTATATGTTGAAATATTAAGAAATATAGGTACTATTATTTATAATGTAGGTACTTAATGTTATAATATAATATTACATCATTACCTACCTACATTAAATCAAGGCAAAGTGGGTAAATTTTGAAATTATTTATACATAATTAGGTACCTATATAGGTAGGAACATTTGTATTTTCATACCAGCATATTTCTTTGGTAATACGAATTAGCAAATAGGAAATTATAACATCTAAATACCTAGGTACCCAATTTACTTATTGATATATCGATTTTATATTTTTCATAAGTGTGTTTGCATATTTTACAGTCTTTTATAACAATTTTTTCAGTGTATAAAATTCCTTTTTCTATGAAGAAATATATATATATATATATATATATATATATATATATATATATGTGCACCCCTATCTTATTCGGCTCCATACGTTCGAAGGAGACCTGGCCTCCACCAGAAGGAATAGGAATTTCTGAGTTTTTTTTATAGAAATAAATTAATAAACTCTTTCTTTATATGAGCAACCTCAGAGGGGAAAACTTTTCTTAAAAATAAAGAAAGAATTTTTATACACATTTTTGATACGGCTTAAGGTGAAGTGGCCTCCACACAGTAGAAAATCTTTTTGCCTCCTGTGAATATATTTCCAGAGGTGCCTCGGTTGAACTTGCCTCCAGCGACGTTGCCGCACTGACCCTCACATGTTTTTATATTATTTTTCATTTTAAGCCTTTTTATGTATTTCGATGATTGCGTTTATCGGTTAATTGGACTCCTCCAAAATATATTTACATCTAATATTATTTTAATAAATAAAAATTATACATTGTGCTGTTTTCGGTGAAACAAATTTTTTAAATGTTTTATTTCATTAAAATGTATGAATACATTTATAATTTAACATTTAAGGTATGGATTGGTTTCTTTCATTAAAAATGCATCTAATGATGCGATTAAGTGGTAATTTGGATGTACACATTTAATTGACTTTTAAAATTTAAATATTTAATAATAATATTATAATATTTAATATAAATTATATTTAGGTATAAATGGTAGGTATATCTATAGATACATCAATTTTGTTCTTTAAAAAGGGTTTTTAAACAAAAATTATAAATTCACAAAAAATTGAAATTTTTGTGAACCTACATATCTATCGTTTGGTCAAGTTGACGTAGCAGAGGCAAAGAGTAAACGTAAAACGATAAAACCATAACCAACAAATAAACCTTCATAGTGCAAACTACTACCTATAGTGTAAAAAAATACAGTGAGTACAGACTACAATACGGTCAATAATTAGTTGAGGGCCAAGTGAAAAGGAGGAGTGAAGTGACAGGTGCAGGCGAACATAGTGAAACGGTCAAAAGAGTTAAATGTTGAGTGACAAGAAAGTGTTGAGTGACAAGTGTCAGTGCCTGAGCGGTCGCACCATCGGTTAACAGGTCGATTTCCACAGGCCAAACAAAAGAGGACATACAAGGGAGGAACAGGCCACCTGCAAATATTTGCTAAGTATCCTCAAATTCTTCCGCATGACCTAATATATAATTTGCAATTGAACTAAACAAGGCACATTGCCTAATCCCTACTAAAAAAAACAATAATCATCGGCATCAAATAAATAAAAGTCAATTTTCCAAGAAAAACCAAACAGCCGATCGCGGACACGCACCAAAGTTGAACAGGGCAATAAAGCTGTCAACATAACAATTCAAGTAAAACAAACCGAGACCAAATAAATTTGACACTTAAGACATAAACAACACATAAACTAAGAAAAATAAACAAAGTAAAAAAGGCACTCTAATCAAACTCCATGGAATTTGTAAACACACTTCACTTCATAGTAAAAGTAAAAAAATACCCCCCCACTGGAAACTGCCTTATCGCAGCGATTGCACACCAGCTGTTCAACACGGTGACAAATTAATGCGTACCTAAACGACCACGGTAATTACGGCTTCTTGGCCGGACTGGAAACAATACTAGCCGCCTCAGACGTATACAACGCAACAACATACTACAAGCCACCCTTAAACTAGATCTTAAAGACAAAAAAGTCGGGAGACCACGCTTCACATTTCATGACACGTTAGCACAAAACATGCACTTCTCACAAATTAACAAGAACAGTTGGGAGCAACTAAGCAACAATAAAAACAAAATAAAAAAACAACCGACACACTTTACCAAGTTCAGGAACTATCCGACACGGATAATGACAATAATGAACAAGACGAAGACCTCGACTAGGAAACTACACCCTGCAGCGTAATAACAACTCCCCAACTCCAAATAGTAATCCCAAATGTTTGGAGTAATATTAATCGACTGGTCTAGGGGGATTCCGCGTCGTACTTAGTTTTAAGTCGGCGTAATTGTCCCCCAAAAACCAACACCTTCCCGTCCCTCCTCCATACCCCACTGAGCGTATAGCATAGGCTCGGCGAACCCGGGAAAGGCTATTATAACCATTCGCCTCTTGCTCTCGAGCTCCAAATAGGGGACAGTACGGAACGCAATGGACATTCGCACCCAGCAAACACGGGTGAAGCCGTGAAGTTGCTGGGGAAGAACAAAAATCGGCGTAAGTAAACATAGGCCTGTACGGGGTTCGAGAGTCAAGAGGAAATGGGACTGGTTATACGTCTCTTATACTCATATACTCATACTCATACCCTACATATCTATCGTTTGGTTTGGAAAACTACAAAATTTTCTTTTTGCTTTTAACTAAACGATCAGAGGTAAAAACATGTTTTAAGAATGTAATTTAGGTAGTTTAAACATTTTGCCATAAATGAAGTTTTAAGTAGATAATTAAAATAGTGCGTAATAATTTTAATAATCACCAAATTAAAAAAAAACACTAACAGCACCTTTAATTTAAATTTAAAAGTAACTACGGCATTATATGTTTTTTCGTTAATTTTAATAAAACAAAAGTGTATTATGTTATTTAGTAAATGCAAGAACCATCCTTGCATTAAAAATAATTGTAATAAATAAAATTTTAGTAAATTAAATTTAATAAATAATTTGCATCAAGGTAAATTATGTGAATTATTTATTGTTTAAGTTACTTTTCGTAAATTTTTTTCTAGAGAGAGGTAGCGAACGCCGCGGCGCGCCGTTTCGGTGCGTTCCGCCTTAAATCGAGCCCTGTGTATATCTTATTCATACTTATTCATGTGGTGTGAAAAATTATACTGGGTACCTAAATATGCCACTATTTTTTAACTTCTTATTACCTGGTATATTCTTATTTAAAATCAACAACTAGTCTGTAATTTTTAATTTAATTTTTTTATAAATGTGTTTTTAAATTATAATTTTTAATAATTATTTTATAAATAAACGCAGTCATTATATATTTATGTTGGTTTTATTTATTAAAAATCAATAGTATAGTATAATTTTTATATATTTTATATATACACTTAATGTTTTGTCAAATTCAGTTTAATTTAATATTATAAATATATATATAGGTACCTATATTTTTAAAACTTCTGTGTAGTATTTATTTATCTGCTAAAATGTCTTAGTATCTAATAAACAGTTTATTATAAAAATATTTCTACAGGTATTCATTCTAATGCCTTATAATAAACTATATAACTATAATTACTAATGTTAAAATTAACTAAACATTCAATTTTCTTAGTTTCTTTAAATCCAATGGTATTATTTATAAGTGGAACGCACTCAAAATAAAAACTCTGGCGAGGTGAACGTTTAATTCTTTCTTTTAAAATAAAATACTATTTATATGTATGTATATTATTTTCCTAAAAACGACAGTTCTAATCAACCGCGCTAAGCCTGAAAACAAAAAAAACAAAATTATAATTAACCTGCAATTAGTAGATTACTTTTTACCATCTGTTATTTAATATTTATTCAGGTCTACATTACATTACATCTACTTACACTTTTTCTATGACTTACACTTTGTATTTGTATACCCATAGATAGGTTATTATTCTTAATAATACCTTTATTCAGGAGTCCAGTTATACCATATTCCTATATCATTATTTCATTAACGTATTAAAAATATAAGATTTCTCTGAATAAAGTACATTTACAGAAATACATACTCGTGGCATTAAATGGCCTCCGTACACTGTTGCCAAATTTCGGAGACTAGTTGATTAGAAAATATTCTGAGGTATATCAACTGGTATACTTATTTTTATATACATCTGTATATAACAGTGGCGCCCTCATCGGAAGAACGGTGAACCCGATTGTGTAACTGTAGATGTATCCAAGTGGAATTGACCTCCAGGCTAAAATTTGCCACACGTCCTAAAATGACCTTGACTACCCATAGTAAAGAGATACACGTGCTTACCATTTGGCCTCCGATTTTTCGAATGCGGCTCCGATTTCGGAGCCGCTTTCTTCACAAAAGTATCTATTTCGGATGTGTATTAGCCGTTTTGCATATATATATATATATATAGGTATTTCCCCATTTCGGGGTTTTCTATGCCATTTATTATTAGGTCATCCAATGAAACTAACGAGTCCTCCTTAACCTTACCTTCGTTAAATAATTCATAGGTGACGTTATAGTTACCCCGTTACGATAACAAAAGACTGTCTCCGGGGCAATTTGATTTCGTGGAGGTGGGCGCGATTTTTCACAGCCAACCCGGGTTATTCACCCGTCGGTTGTTTGGATTGCGGTTACCATAGAAATGGAATTGATCAAATACCAGATAAAAATTTATTTTCCCGCATGGTTCTCTCGAGACCAGTGTGGTTGGTTAGAACCCCCAATCAGTCTGCAATTGACTGCCATACGGTGACTGTGACTATTTCACACGGATATATTGTGGAGTATATACGAGGCAACAGGTAAGTCGAAAATAAAAAAAAGTCTACAAAAGATTTTTTTGTTTTGCGTTAACATATTTCAAAAAGTTTTTGAGTTATAAACCTTTATTTTATTATTTTTTTCGTAATCCATTGGTTTGGTTGTTTTATAAAGAAAATTACGAAAAAAATAAATTATATGAACTTTTAAATTTAAAAAGCTTACGCTTTGTTTTTGAGATTTAATTAAACTTAAGTTTAAATATTATAAAAAAAAGTATGGTCACTCCACTGCTTTTGTATGAGTTTGATATTATACATTTAGATTGATCAATTAAAAAGATTAATTAATTATCAAGAAAAATGCAAAAGACAAAAAGTTATATTTTTAATTGTCCAATCTAAAAATAATATTAAACTTATATTATAGTTTTAAATTTCTAGTTTCTAAATTAAATTTAGTCAAGAAGTTAATTTTTTTCAGTGCTTTTGGCGATATTATTTTTGAATACTTACATTATAATTATAACCATAAACTCAATTCTTAATTTTAAAATTTTCATATAAAATTTTATTTTATAATAATATTATGTAGATTAGACTAGGCCAAAAAAATCAACTATTTTTTTTTTTTTGAAAAGTATATCGAAAATATGGTTTGGGGCGACAAAAAAAAATTATTGTAAAAGTTTGAGTCCATAATATTAATATTAAGAGGTCTATCATCGCAATTTTAATTTTTTTTCCCTCATCAAGTTTTTGTTTTAGAACTCCAAAACCATTGAGTTTAACAAAATTTACTTAAAAATATTTTTTTAAGAAAATTAAATGCTCTACAAAAAAGGTTAAATGAAATTTTTCGTCAGATGAACCGTTTCCTTAAAATCATGCCCTAAACATTGGTATAGTTTTACATTTTGATCTTTTAACTTTGGAATTTTAAAATTCATGTAAAAATCAGTACCCATAAAAAACCGATAAATATTCTTATGAGAAATCAAATGCTTTACAAAAAAAGCCTCTTAACATTTTTGGCTAAATTCATTGAATCAAAAGTTATTATGAAGTCAAAACGAAATTCTTGTCTAATGTAGATATCTACATTAGACAAGGTATATACCTACCTATACATTTATAAATATATATTACTTGCTTTGTATTATAGGTATATGTATATACCTACAAATATTATGACCTTCAACGTTTTATATTGATTAACATAATATTATTGAGTATTTTTTCATAAAAATATTGATTTCAAAATTAATTGAAAATAAATTTGTCATTATTTAATTTAATTTGTTTATTTTTTTGTTGAAGCTTTCAAGAATTATAAGTTAAATAATTGATTGCAAAGCTTTAGTAACATGTTGTATTTCTTTTGGAAATGTCTACTACATATATAGAAAAATCCATTTCATTGGTGGAAAAAAAGAAGCAGCAATGGGCCAAAGAAAGAGGTAAAAAATAAAATAAATTAATTTAGGTAAACTTAGATACCTAAACCATATTATAATAAAAATACAAGACATGTTTGCAGTTTTTATGTTTTTTTATGGTACATTTTAAACATTTTTTAAATTATAGAGGAACTTGCTAGAATATCTGGATATTGGAGACAAAGTTCTGAGCCACAGCATATTGAAGGATTTTTTGACAGGTAAAAATATATTTAAAAGGCATAATTAAATATTAATAAATAAAAAACAAAAATTTGATGGTTAAATATTTTAAAAATTGGGTAAAATTTTAAATGTTTTTTTGACAGACATCCCTGTATAATTTTTTTACATTTTTGTATTTCGTTTATTAACTATTATTTTTTGCAAATAAATTCTCTATATCAGCGGTTCTCAAACTTTTTTTTTCGCGTACCATTCATGTGCAATGTGGATTAATCGAATACCACCTAACTAAATAAAACAAGTTGTGCTGCGTGTACGTATTTATTGAACTTGTAGTTTAAGAAGAAATATTGATAACCGTGAAACAGAACCAATTTTTATAGTATTAAAACAACAATTTGTCAGAACAAAACAAAATCCGCATGACTCTTCACGATTTTAAAACGAGCAGGGGATTACCCGTTTAATAAACACCAACAACAGTGTTGCCATTTACAATATAAAATGAGGGGAATGATAGATTTTAAATAAAATTGAGCCACCGATAATTTTATTTGAAGGCAAGTACATCTATTATCTACTCGCGTACCACGTTGTACCTTTGCAAACTGTGGTGAGGCATCCATGGATGCCTCACCACAGTTTGAGAACCGCTCTGCTCTAAATCGATAAATTTAATTTTGAAAAATACACAATTACCCATGCACCCTAGTAGCAATTCCGGAAAGGTCTTGGCCCAGCATGGGTCAAGATACTTTGGACAGATTTTTGCTCAAGAATTGTACAAGAATTGTTCCAGATTCTTGGCCAAGATTATTGGGCAAGACTTGAGCCAGACTGTGGCCAGAATTTGACAAAAATTTGACCAGAAATCTGAGGCCATCTATTGCTAAACTTTGGGACTATCCTATAGAGTAGAGGTTCTCATTCTACAGTAGTATCATTCACAATAATGTATACTAGTCGAGAAGTGAGTTCTCTGTAGGAAATGAGTAGTTTTTTTGTTTATGTGAAAATACGAATAAGAGCTTATTGGATTCGTCTTCTAGCTGAGAAATAAATTGATTTTTTGAAAAATAAAAATTGTTATTTTTAAAAATCAAAAATTAAAACAAAAAGTGTGTGTCAGCTCTGAAAATAGAAAACTTAGAACATAGAAAATTAAAAACTTTAACTCTTTCAAAATTTGTTTCGTTTTTAATTCTATTGTTTACCAGATTTATGGATAAAAACCGAATTTACTGGAAAGAAATCGTGGAAAATTAATGTTTTTAGTAACATTCTTAACTTTTGAAGTTCAACAAAATTTTGTATTGACCAAAAATCTTGAATTGAAAGTTCCTATTTAACGTGTAATCGTGTAAAAATTCTTGGCCAAGAATCTGGTCAAATTCTGGTCACAGACTTGTCCAAGTCTGCCACCAGTCTGGATAGAATTCTTTACAAAGTGTTTCTCCAAGTATCTTGACAAAGAATCTTGTCCAATTTCATTGCTACTAGGGCATAGGTAGACATAGGACCTACTGGAGTTACCCATAGACATAATGTATTATATGATTAATTTTTAACCATTGATCAGATAGCGTAATCAAGGTACCATTCTAGAAATAATTATGCCTCAAACACTATGGTGCCGAGCAGCGAATACGATCGAAGATCCCTCAAAGGTCCGGACAGAAGAAGCAGCCTACCCCCGCTCTACAAAAATCAGTACAACTCGCGCGAGCACTACGAAAGAGAGAAGGAGCAAGGCGGGGAGACTTCCGGTTACGGCAGCGATAACAGCCCGGAGTTTCACCAGGTGCCCTGGAGCCAGTCCGGGTATGCATAGGGACTTGCTCCTGCTTTTGCTTTTTCATCTACTATGAGGTCTTGATCTTGCAATCTGCAAGACCAAGACTAAACCAGCATGACCAAAACCTTTTGCTCATCACCAGGTACGAATCGTCTTCGAGCCGGGACGACAGGCCCAAGTGGGGCGACAAGGGGGTGGTAGGGGGTAAATTCTGGACGCCCAAAGAGGAGGTGCCGGAAAAGAACCTCTCCGAACCCCCCAACTGGGTGAAGAGGGGTCTCAAAGACGGGGAGATTGTCGTTTCGAACCAGTCACCTGCCGAATCGCCTGAACAAACTTACGAGGACCCTGAGAGGCCGTCTACGGGGTGCAGCTCCAACATTAACCGGTAAAAATACATTTTTTTTAGATTTTTGTGCTAACATATCGTTCTAGAACCTACATAAGAGGTCAAAACATCCCGCTCGACTCTCTAGAGCTGGCCGAACGCGAACGTAAACGTCATATAGCGTTGGAGCATCAGCAAGCGATTAGGCAACAGTTGGAGGAGAGAGAACGCAAGCGAAGGGAGGAGAGGGAACGAAAAATCCAAGAAGAGCGAGAGGAGGAACTGCGAATCGAAAGAGAGCAGGAAGTTGAACGGCAAAGGCAAGAACACGAGCAACGACTGCTGAAAGAAAAACTGGAAAGGGAGAGGAAACGGAAAGAGGCCATACAGGAAGCTATAGAGGTGGCTCAAAGGGAGGCAAAACTGGCGAAGATGAGGCAAAAGATGTCGAAATTTGCTGATAATAACGAAGAAGTCATTGTGAACATGAACATGACGGAAAACATACTGGAAAAGAAAGAAACTGATGCTGACGAGAAGGCTTTAAAAAGTACAATAATAACAGACAGTCATGCTGCCCCTGATAATAATAATAATAATAATAATAAGCCTGCTGAACCTAAAAAAGAAATTCTCAACAATGACAGTGAAAACAACAGTGAAACAATACCAAAACTGACAAACATCCTTAACGATACGACCGAATGCAAATCGTTGACACCAAGGCAAAGCAACGCAAAAAATTACAACACACCCAGAACAGACTACCAAGCTCTCATCTTCCAATCGCCTTTGGAAATACTGCAAAGCCTCCCTTACGCCGTTCTAGTCCCATCAACACCCATGAACTACGCTGTACCTTTGAGTGATATCGGGACTAGTATGTCAAGGACGGAAAATCGAATCCTCACACCAACTCAATATAGAAACAAAAATTCCAGACTGTGCGACAGCAGTACGCAAACTGACCCCGAATATACGGGAGAGTCGAGCGTCAGGGAAAAATTCGGTAACTTGGAGTTGACCTACGATAACAGAAGCAGCAGAAAAGACAGGAGGAGCAGGTTGGAAGACGTGGAGGATAGACCCAAATGGGGGGCTAACAGACCGCCCACGAGGTACTTAAAGCAGAGCGAGAAGGATCTTCTGTATCAGCGGCGGAAGTTGAGGCAAAAAGTCAGGGACGACAAAAATTCGAGCGACGAGAGCCAGATGGGCAGCCCGAGGGCCTACAGGAAGAAAGGCTACGTGGATAAAAGGGCTTTGTGGAGGAAAGATGGCCGCCAAGTGTTCAACAGAAACGTCGGGATGTACCAGACGGAAATAGTTCCTCTGGAGACCGACAAAGATCGTCTGTACTACCGGCAAAACGAGGAAGAGTGCTGTTGTCGGTGCAGACACAACGTCAAAGTGGACATCCTCAAAATTGAGCACTCTCCGAGGGAAAACCGGTTGCCCGACTGCGTTCAGAATGAAAACAGCGAGGTTCTGGAAAAACTGTCGAACCTCCACAACGGTTTGCTTTTGAAGCAAGAGCAGTGGAAAAATTCGCCCAGAACGCCGTCATTGTCTTCATCTAAAGCCAACTGAAATTTTGTTTATTTAGTAGATTTCGATTCGACTAGTTGTTTTATATTTTTGTAACTTCAGATCGTAATGGGAGACGATTTTTTGACGAAGAAGAAGGAGAGCGTCCCCACGTTGGACCTCTCCCAGAACGTGGTAACGTCGAACGAAGAGTTCAGAAGGATGCTGGAGAAAGTGCCGGACTTTAAAATGAAACCCGAAAAAGTCCCTTTCGATGCGATCAAGGTTAAGGACAAGAAATTCAAGTTTAAATCCGGGAAACGGGATTTGAAGGCGATGAGGGTGCCCTACACTTTCATGGACCCCTTACCAGTAGAAATGAGTAAATTGAACATCAGCGAGCTCGCCGCTGTGTCCATAGATTGGAAAATGTTGACGGTTCTGAAGCCGAAAAGTAAAGTTGAAGAAAACTATTTCTCAAGGTAAGTTTTACACGAAAATTTGATTTATATTAGATACTAACATTTCAAATGCGATTCAAGAAAGCTGTGCACTGCTTGGTACGGGCAAACTTATTGTTTCCTTTATTATAAGGTTACTGGGTCATAACAATTATACCTCATTTTTATTCAGAGATTAAGATAAGAAACATGTAAAAGGGGAAACGGTGTTATTTTCATCGAATTCGTAGTAAGAATTTAGTTGTTCCACTTAAAATATTGATTGTTCACTGTATTGATATTTAATTAATAATTCATTAAACCCTCAGGCTCGTGGAATTGGGAAAACTCGAAATAAAAACGAGGGCCCAGGAAAAAAAACAATTCGCCTCCGACCCACAAATCAGGAAAATCAAAAACAAGTCCGGGGTAGTGGAGATGCGAGTTGTAAATTGCTCGCAATGCGGGGAGGATTTCTGCAATGGTTAGACATTTGCTATAAATATTGTGTAGTCTTGAATGACATAAAAAATATTTAAATTTCAGGAAGGAATTGTTCTACGTTCGGTTACGACGCTTATGCTCGTTTGCCAGAACTTCCGAAGTCCGCTACGAAAGTTTTGTCGCCAGGGTCCAACGAAAAGGTAAAAAGAAAAGTGAAAAGGCGTGGACGGTCGAAAAGTAAAAGTAAACCGAGGAAATCCAGCGGAAAATCGAAATCGCCCAGGAGAAGCAAATCGAAAACCAAGAAAAAAACACCCAAATAAACAGTCAAATTTTAATTGTGTTGTAAATAATGTAATTTAATAATAAAGCGACATTCTTCACGAAATTGATTTTTCAAGTCTTCTAAATTTTGTGGTCTGTTGATGTATAAATTTGAAATATTTCGAAAACGCTCAACCAAAAGTTCTATCTATATATAGTATATATAGTAGTGCATATTTCTTAAAATTATATGCTAAGAAAAAAATATAAAATAAAAAACTTCCATATATCCCCACTTGTTATTTGTAGAATATCAAAAACAATAATAAACTGAAAAAGTTTGACCTTGAAATTAATTATTTTGAGAAAGTTTATGAACATTTCTTCTATAAACTTTTAATAATTAATATCTCCGAAATAAAAAAAAAATTGATATTAATTTCCTGGAAAAGATTTGGTTAAGCATGGAATGGGTTTAAATGAAACATAATAATACTTTTTAAAATATATTTTAAAATGGTCCCCAAAAGATAACACTCCACAGACCTAGTACATAATCAATTACAACAAATATTGTATAATATAAGAAACACAATCATGTAGGTATGTACAAAATTATTTACTAAATTAAATTATGTTTAAATTTACTTAAAATGTCAAAAGTACGTATTGTTTTTTAAGAAACTCTTTTGAATGAATGTTGGTACATTCAATAAATATTACAAACAAAAAAATCCAAATTATACACCCTTTTCAAATTGATACACACTTGTGAGGCTACTGTTTGTTTAGCAAAAACATTAAATAAAATATAAAAAATAGTAACAAAACAATAGAAATATGTAAAAATGACAAACTAGAACTAGAAAAAATGTTTAAAAACGATTACCCGTTAAAGACGATTCCGGAAAAAAAACAAACAAGCACGAAAGTAAATGCAAAAAATATTTACACGTAAAAATATATGCTATCTAGACGAAGAAACGGTAGAAAAATTTTGGCAAGAAATAGAAAACTGTAGATGTAATTGGTGCGAGGTAAACGGCTCCTCTTTATAGTAAAAATTAAAAAAATTATATCTAAACAATCAATGAAAAGTGCTACGTAAAAATGCGTCATTTTTACCAAAGCAGCAGTATAAAAAATCCTAAAATCTAACGAGCAAAATAAAATTAATGCCCAGCTAAGAAACTACGGAAACACTAAAAATAAATACACTTAAAAACCGAAACGAATATGGAAGACGCGTAAAATTACGATTGTTATACAAATTTCATGTTATCGCAAAAATATATTATTAAAAATATTTTGCCGCATCGCTAAAGGCCATTATTTTTCATTGCGTAGGTCAAAATTTAATAAGAATTTGATTGGCACCCTTTTTACTCATTTTCCTATAATATTGTTGTAGGTACATAATATGTCTAATGACGATGGAATGCATTTAACTAGATTAGCAGCCCGACATATGTACATACACAAAAGCCTTATTCAATAATAAATGATTATATTAAATACGACATTTATTTTAACCGAAGAATCCTTGGGCGAATACTTTCTCCAAAAATCAATAAAATTTCGTTGAGTGAGGATATGCATTTTGTGAAAAATATTCGCCCGACATAACCTAAATTACAATACAAAACTCCTCTTGCAACGTAGATAACCTACAAAATTCTTACTCTATAGAGTCAGTTATAATAAGTCTTTTGTTATTACTGAGATATTATCTCATAGCCCAAGATTTAATTGAGTCTAATTAAAACACCGCTAATAGTGCCTAAAGTAACTTTTTAGATTTATTAATTGTCTCTGCGCGCTTTCTTCTTGCTCTTTTTCGCTATTTTGGCCTCTGTCCAAGTATCTGAAATAAAAGTTCGCTCGGATTAGAGTATGTAAAAAAGCAACCCCAAAACATCATGTACATTTTATTTTATTTTACCTTTTTATCTTCGTTATTTATGATCGTATTAAAAAAAAAAAAGTTTTTTGAAGTTCAATATATTGATCTATCTTGGGCATTCCACGCCAAATCGGATGGTATATAAAAAAAATTTATTCCTCCAATTTTTTTTATATTTTTAATACTCCTTGAAAGAGCTTTCTCAGTAAATTTTGAGATTTTTTTGATCACGGGTTCAAAAGATCAAATTTTCAAAAAAACTGCTTTTTTTGTTTTTCGCTCATAACTCCAAATCAAAATGTTCATTCTATATAAAATTTTCGTTTTTAAATGTTCTTTTCAAAAAAAAAATATATTGAAAATATTTTAAGCGTTTTAAGTCAAGATTTTTGAGTTTTAAAGTTTAAATCGTGTTTTTAAAAATATGTCTTCTTCGATTTTCGCAAAAAACTTTTATTTTTAACTTTTATCTATTCAACAACTATTCAGCCTGGTCCGGTAGTGGGCCTTCCATAATTACTATTTTTTTTCGATTTTTTAAAATTAAAAAAAAATTTCTCTAAAAACTATTGTAAGTTAAACTTTCGCAAAACTAACGCATAACAAGTAAAAAAATCCAACTCTAAAACGCCTTTAACAATCTTTTTTTATAAGTAAATAAAACATATTCTGTGATAGACCGTATTTTTGTCAGTATACCCTGAAAATGTTGTACAAATCAAACAAAGAAAAACGAAAATACAGCGCTTCAAAGTGGTCAAAAATGGCTACTTTTCAGAAAAATAATCAAAAAGATGTCATTCTTACCGACTTTGAAGCGCTGTATCTTCGTTACTGTTCGTTTGATTTGTACAAAATTTTTAGTGTATACTAACAAGAATACGGTCTTTAACAGCATATTTTTTATTTACTTAAAAAAATCCCTAAAAGTTATTTTTTGAACGTTTTTTATTATTAAATAAAAGGGGTTTAAAAATATTTTCTCGAAAAACCCTCAAACACGTAAACTGAGATATAAGTTGAAGTATTTTTATACAAAATTTCATAAAGATTGGTAAAGGCGTTGTAGAGTTAATTTTTTTTTTACTTATTATGCGTTAATTTTGACGGGCAGTATAATAAGATAATTAAAAAACAAAATCTCAAATGACAAATATTCATTGTCCATTTTGAATATATTTTATTTATTGCAAATAATGAAAAATTAACAACATTTAATTGTACTTATGGTTGTTGTTTTTTTAATTGTCTTTTTATGTTTTTTACCTAAAACAATAAAAAAGAAAAACAACCCTGGGTAGATATAATACAATGTTAATTTTGTAATAAATAAAATAATATATTATATTATATATAATATATAATATATATAATATATTATATTTACTAATATATATAATATATTATATTTACTTTGAGTTTTAATTTATTTGATTAATTTTTTTATTTTGTGTTATTTGTAATAAAATTTAATTAAACATAGTTTTATTCAAAGGGTAATACAAACAAAATGCAAAAGTCAATTTTTCTAAAAATTTCCAATTTTTTACGGATGATATCCGTACACCGATATCGAGAAAAGAGTTCGATTAATAAAATTATAATTTTGTAATTTAACTTTATAAAACATTAATTACTTTGTAACTGGATATTTTAATTGCACTCCTTTTTGCAAAAAAGACCCAACTGACAGTATATTTAACCTTTACGTTTATTTTCATAAATCAATTTTATTTAATCTAATATTTAGTTTTATTTTTTTCTGTAATAAATTAAAATAATGTTAAGTTGTTGATTGCTACTTTTTTCAAATGTGTATATTTCCAAAAAGTAAATTCAATTTTTCCCAAAATAATAAAAAGTGAGAAAAATTACAACACGCGTATTTTTATTTAAAAAAAGTCGTAAAAAAATTTATCCTTAAAAACAGATCCTCTATACCTAAATACCTAAAATTTTTTCAATTTGAATTTTTGAGAATTTTTATTTTAGATTTTACTACAAAATGAGTTCTGCAATCCACTGCTTCAATTGCCTATACTGTATAGGCTATACAATATTTTGTTAAGATTAAAAATCAGTTAATAAAATAAAAATGTGTTTTTAATGTCTAAAGCTTCAATTTATTATATAATATATTGTAATATACAATAATATTATATATTGTAGCGAGTACCGCCCTGGATATCGGAGTGATGACTCATCGCCGATTAGTCATTGCCGGTGAGTCATCGCCGGTGACTCAGCGCTCGAATAATCGAGAGTGTGGAGCTCGCTGGAATGTTCCAGAATACTTGGGCGCTGGATATATAAGAAACGGAGCAACACAGAGCAGTCAGTCCAGTTTTGGTACTCGCGTCGAAATAAATAAATATACGTGTAAATAAATAGACTCTAGTGATATAAATAATTAGTAGTTAAGTGTTTAGTTAGTTTTATAGTGTTTTAAGTGTAGTTAAGTTATTAAATAGATAGTTAAGTTCGTTAATTAACCAGTGCGTGTTTTTATTCACACTACGAACAGTTAAAAACGTTACAATTGGTGTCAGAAGTGGGATTAGTGTGAAATTTCGCGAAAATGGTTTCGTTAATGGACTTACAAGTGGCGGACCTTAAGCGGGAGCTAGAAGAAAGAGAATGTGAAACAACTGGAAAAAAGAATGTGTTGCAGCATCGGCTTCGAGAAGCGTTGGAACAGGAAGGTGAAAATCCAGATACGTATTTATTCGAAGGTTTGTGTGATATGCATTTAATGTTGCAAAATTTAAATGATTTAAAACAGAGAATGTTAGAAAATTCTAACGAGTTACAACAGAAAATGCTGGAAAATTCTAGTGATTTAAAAGTTGATTTACAACAAAAGATTTTGGAAAATTTCAACGATTTAAAAGATGATTTGCAACAGAAAATGGTGGAAAATTCTAGCGATTTGAAAATTGATTTACAACAGAAGATTCTGGAAAATGTCAACGAATTAAAGGACGATTTGCAACAGAAAATGCTGGAAAATTCTAACGATTTACAACAGAAAATTTTGGACAATTCTAACGAGTTTCAACAGAAAATGCTAGAAAATTCTAAAAACCTAAAAGAATATTTGGAAGGGAAGATTCTAGATAATGTCAATGAATTAGAAGAGAAAGTAGGACAGAAAGTTGACGATGTAAGGATGGAAAAACTTCTTGGACCAACTACATCCGTCAGTTTGAGGCAGCAGCAAAAGCAAATGGCTGGCTACCAGAAGAGAAGGCTACAGCATTGACTCTGGCTTTACGCGGAGATGCAACGGACATCTTGCAGACGCTTTCTCCCAACGAACAAGAAGATTACGAAGCGTTGGTGAATCATCTGGAACTTCGATATGGCCAGACACATCTGGAACATGTGTACCATTCCCAACTAAAGAATCGCTGCCAGAAATCTAACAAGACTTTGCAAGAATTTGAGGCTGATATTGCACGCTTGGTTCGGCTAGCATATCCAGCTACTCCAACGACCGTTATGGAACGATTAGCGGTTCAAGCCTTTTTGGATGGACTTCGGGACAATGAAACACGACAGGCTCTGACATTGGCTCGTCCGAGCCAACTGGTTGATGCATTGGCTCGAGCTTTGGAATTCGAGGCGGCAAAGCAGAGCTGCAGGAGCCAGCCTAGAATAAGGAGAGTCGAGGAAGAGAAAGAGGAGGAACCCAGAATAATCAAAGAAATCAGGCGACTTCTTAAAGAGAATCTACCAGAAAAGAAGGAAATCCGGTGTTGGAGATGTGGAAAGCTGGGACATATACAAAGTCGTTGCAGAGGAAGCCAGGTGGCGCCGACTTTATTTAGAAAAATAAATAGGACTGAAGAAAAAGATGTATGTATTCGCAGAACTACAATCGTGGATGATCATTGGCAATCCGCTAAGGTTTAACAAGACCAGGAAAGGGATCCGGATTTGAAGCTTATCATCGATTGGAAGAAGAACGACCGTAAACCAACGTGGCAGGAAGTCGCCCAATATTCGCCGAATGTGAAATCGTACTGGGGCCAATGGAATTCCATCATCTTAAGTGACGGGCTTCTAAAGCGCGTTCTGGAGATGCCAGAAGGGGGGGAAGACCGAAAGCAGATAATAATCCCCAGAAACAGGATACCAGAAGTGCTGCAGGAAATCCATGATGGAACTACTGGAGGACATCTTGGGGTGACCAGGACGCTCGGAAGACTTAGGGAACGGTTTTATTGGGTCAACAGCCAGCGAGATGTGAAGGAATGGTGCAAGAAGTGCGCCGTTTGCGCGGCAAGCAATGGACCCCAGAAGCGCCCAAAAGCCCCAATGCGACAGTACAATGTGGGCAGCCCATTTGAGAGAATTGCAATCGATGTGGCGGGTCCATTTCCGGAAACAGAATCTGGAAATAAATACATCATCGTTGTAATGGACTACTTTAGCAAGTGGGCAGAAGCGTACGCCTTGCCAAACCAGGAAGCCGCCACAGTAGCCGATGCCCTTATTAAGGAGTGGATTTGTCGTTTTGGTGTCCCAATGGAAATGCATTCAGACCAAGGCAGGAACTTTGAATCTATATTGTTCCAGAATGTGTGTAAAATTCTTAACATTCGGAAGACGAGGACGACTGCATTACATCCGCAGTCTGATGGAATGGTAGAACGAATGAATCGAACGATAAACCGGTACCTGTCCAAGGTAGTCTCTGATCACCAAAGAGACTGGGACCGCTTCCTTCATCTGTTCCTGTTGGCGTACCGTTCTTCTATCCACGATACAACCGGCCAGACACCCGCTAGCATTGTTATGGGGCGTGAACTTCGTCTACCTTGTGACCTGAGGTTTGGTTGCCTACCAGGGGAAGATATTGCTGGAGAAGATTATGTCAGCAATTTACGTAGGAAAATGAGCGACATTCATAGCCGAGTTCGTTTAAACATCCAGAGTGCCAGTGATAGAATGAAAGAGGCATATGACATCAAGGCGGAAAATGGAGGATTTCAACCTGGAGACCTAGTTTGGTTATACAACCCTCAGCGCCGTCGTGGTTATTCACCGAAGCTGCAGACTTCTTGGGAAGGACCATACGAAGTCGTGGATCGCATAAATGACATCATCTACAGGATCAGGAAACAACCAAGAGGAAAGCCGAAAGTGATCCATTTTAACCGATTGGCTCCTTACGCTGGAAACAATGATGACCAAATTAACCATGCTAGAGTAAGGCGAGTTAATCCTCCGGAAGACGAGTTGCTTTTTGAAGACTTCATGTATGTATATTCGAGCGGTAAAAAAGCTCGCTATGGTGTCACTCGAGAAGAACAACAAGATCTATTCACGGTTTCGGCCGATTACTCCTTGGCTCACTGTGTTGCAGAAGACCTAAGGATGTCCAGGGGAATAGCGGTTGTTTTTAAAAACAAGTTTGGACGGATCGACGAGCTACGAAGGCAGAATCCCAAAGTCTGGTAACGAAGCAGCTCTCCCATCAGAAGCCAAACTACCGTTACGTATGGAATGCCTTAAATAAATTGAGGGATGCCCTTTTATCCAAGGACATCATGAACCTGGCGATACCGAAGATTGCTTGTGGACTTGACGGTTTAGACTGGAGAATAATTAGAAGTATGGTGGAAGTTATCTTCAGATTTAGTGGCATACACATTCTTGTCTGTTGCCACAACCCTAAAAGAACAACCGGAAGGAAGACCGTAGACTGCTACTTCTATAGGACGTCACAATGCAAGTTTGGATCTCTATGCAAATATCGCCATGGAGCTGAGGACCATTTTCGGGACGAAAATGTTTTAAGACGGGGGCAATGTAGCGAGTACCGCCCTGGATATCGGAGTGATGACTCATCGCCGATTAGTCATTGCCGGTGAGTCATCGCCGGTGACTCAGCGCTCGAATAATCGAGAGTGTGGAGCTCGCTGGAATGTTCCAGAATACTTGGGCGCTGGATATATAAGAAACGGAGCAACACAGAGCAGTCAGTCCAGTTTTGGTACTCGCGTCGAAATAAATAAATATACGTGTAAATAAATAGACTCTAGTGATATAAATAATTAGTAGTTAAGTGTTTAGTTAGTTTTATAGTGTTTTAAGTGTAGTTAAGTTATTAAATAGATAGTTAAGTTCGTTAATTAACCAGTGCGTGTTTTTATTCACACTACGAACAGTTAAAAACGTTACAATATTATTATTTTATTCAATATTTAGTATTATTTTTTTTCTGTAATAAAGGATTTAAATAAAATAATGTTAAGTCGTTGATTGCTACTTTTTTCAAATATACTATATTTTAATTACATTTTTCCCAAACATGCCAATTTTTTCAAGACCTGGAATACTTTGTTTTGAATAAATATCAGTTGATAAAATCTTAGATTAGATAATGTTATCTGACCCAAAAAATATTACTTAAATCTTGTTAAATGTATTTTTTAACGTCTGAAGCTTCATTTTATTATATAATATGTTATACTATATATATTATATTATAATATATTGTGTTTTTTTATTCATTCAGAATTGAAGACAATATCAAAATTGGAATTGAAACAAATTCATGTATTTATCCTTACCTCCCAATTCATCAAAAGCAGGGGCACCAGAGGGAGCCTCAGCTTTCTCCTCAGCCACAGCTTTAGGTTTAGGTTGCTCCTTAGGAGCCGGCGTCTCCTTGCTGTCGACAACCTTGTCAACAGGTTCCTTCTTGACCTTTTTTTCCTTCTTTTTCTCTTTTTTCTCTTCCACCACAGCAACAGGTTCCGGAATAACCTCTTCAACGGTTTTCGAGGCAACCTCCTCGATAATTTGCGCCTTAATTTCTTTGTCCTTTTCTTTCTCGCGGAGCTCCTTGTTCACCACCTCCTTTACAAACTTGTCGATTTCGGCGTTATCTACTTTATCGACGGACTTCTTGCTTTTCTTGTCCTTTTTGGCCGGAGACGAGTCTTGCTTCTTCTTCTTGTCGCCTTTGCTCACGACAGTCTCCCAATCTCCTTCGTCGAAGTCAACCGGTTTTTCCGGCGCGTTTTTCCTCGCGTTTCTCTTGTTTTTCACCTCCTCAATTGTTTTCGTTCGGTTGCTTTCGTTTTTTTTGGTTTTTTCGGCTTGCTTGTTCTCTACCTTCTTTTCTTTTTGCTTCGGGGCCTCGGGCTCCTTGGCCGGGGATTTTTTGGCCTCCTTGGTCGGAGATTTCTCGCTCTTAGGCTCTCCAGATGCCACGTGTCCATTGGAAGTGGGCTTCTAAAAAAAGCTTCATTTATGAGATACATGGTTTTTATCTTTCTAACGAGTTGAAGTTAATTTTATATTATTTAAATTGGACAAAATTAGCGTTAAAGTGACAGATAGATAACCTCAATTTTGGAATTTCAATTCAATTCAATTCAATAAATCTGAGTATCTCTGTATTCAGAGGTTAATGGCCTAATTTTGGAATTTAAAAGTTCCACCTTGACATTTGAATACAAATAATTTAGGTTAAATTAAATGGAAAGTTCATTTTTTTATCTGGACTGCGGCAATATTGCAAATTTAGGGTTTTGATTGGTAAATACAGAACCAAAACACACGTGAATGTTGTCCAATCATTGGACTCCAATGGTGAATGGGTAGTTTGTAAAACCAAAAACATAACTTTTTTACTCCAAAAATGTCCACAAAGTGATGTACTTTTTCTTCATCAAAATAAAGTTTTGCCCTTAAAGTTATTTTACTTTAGAATCTGATATTATTTTTGGCAAAGTTATCTTTTTATATCGATATATAATAATTAACAAGTAAATTATCATATAGGTATTACATATATCACAAGAACTATGAATTTAATCGGGTAAACTAGGCTCAGTAGTTTTTTGTTTGGTTTTTGTTGGAAAATGTTGAGTGCAAAATAATTTAATAAAATCACGAGACCGCGTAGCGTTCGAGGGGTTTTATTTTTAATTATTTTGCATGAAACTATTTTCCAAAAAGAAAAATCAAATAAAAAACTTACTGAGCATAGTTTGACAGATTAAATTTATAGGTTGAGTGATATAGGCCTAGATTATTTCTCGAATTAAAGGAAACTATTTGACAATTCATAAAATCTGACGTATGTGTCAAAGTTTATAAATATTTTTTTAAAGAAAATTCCATTAATTTAAGGTATGTAATAAGTATTAATTGATATTTCGTAAACTAGATAACTTATTTTTTATTGTTTTTTAAAAAATGTTTGTTAAAACTTGTAAATAACACCATAAAATCGTAAACAAAAATCCAATACCTATGGAGACTAAAATTTAATCGCTGTTAAAAAAGTCTAGTGATTTAATCGCTTATTTAAACGAAATTTATTCGAAAATTCAAGGCTTTTGATTGGTTCATAGGTATTGTATTGAGGGAAATAATCAATAATAAATATTACTGTCAATTTAACAGTGTCAGAGTATTTAATTAAGGACTTCAGCAGAAGTACCATTATTTAAATAGGTACTAAATTTACTAAATCAAACTGGCATAAGCTACCAACTTAATACAAAAAACACAAGTCCAAATAAAAAAAAATGAACTGTATGTACTTAACTTCTTAAACTGACAAATAGATAAACTCAATTATTTGTATTTAAATGTCAAGATGGGACTTTTGGATGTGGAGCTTAGTACAGGTAATGATCACAATTTTATCTTTCTGATATCAATTTTAATTTTTGATATTTTAACTAGAATTTCGTGAAAACCCCTCTAAATAAGCAAGTTGAAAAAACATTAAAAGCTTATTTTGCATATCAATTATGTTTACACTAACTTATCAATTGATACAATTAAATGTAAAGTAAGCAGTTACATTAATTATCTTTATTATATAATAAATACAAGAATAAACGTCAATTAATTTTTGCTTAAATTGCTTTAACAGATAATTAAATGCATAGATATATAAAATATACAAAAATTTATAAAGTTTGGAATTGATGGCTGTGAAATTTTGGCATTTTATGTGCCCGTGAAACAAAAGAACAAACTGTTCACCAATAAATAATCACAAACAGTTATTTATAAAATCTGGACTGGATGGCTGTGAAATTTGGCATATGTTTAACGGTACCGCGAAACAAAAGAGCAAAACGTTCACCAATAAACGTCAAACGTCACCGATAAACGAGAAACGTCAAAATACGCACCTTTTCCTTGATTTTGCGTTTTTTGTTGGTGGCCTTTCTGTCTTCGGCGGTCAACTTGCTGAACGCTGGCTCTTTGACCGTTTGAAAGCCGAAAAGGAAAATCACCACCGAGAGGAAAACCACTCCGGCGGCGGCCAGCAAAACCATCACTGGCGAATTGAACATGTCCGTCACTATTTCCATTGTCGCTGTGGTTTCGAACGATCTTCCAGGAAGACGAAGTACGCGTTTGACAACGATACAGTCTGAGGACTGGCGAAAATTGTGATGACGCTGGCTGTGACGTAAACACGTTCGTATGTTTATCTCGTTACATGTGCGCCACGTATCTGCGCAATCGAACTAAACCACTGTGCGCAGACACATCCCAACGCAGGCTTGCCGCGTCTACTTTTTTGCAGTAGAACTGTTAATTTTTTTATTCATACCTTAAATAAAATTAGTTATGCAGATAATATTATTTAATTTTGTTAATCTTTTACACTTTTGACAATTATTTAAAGTACTGTTATTGCAGAAAGTAGATTTTTTTTTAAGAACAATACGCAATAATTGCAAAAAAATTTGGAAAATTGACCATTACGAAGAAATGTAAAAAAAAACTATCATGGTATTCTGATTTTTAATAAGGTTTACCTACATATTAACAATTAACGGTTTTTTACATGAATGTCAAAAAACTACTGCCCGACTAGTTTGGCAACGCTGTGCACTGTCAAATTGGTTTTAAATCATCATTTTCAACTCCCTAACTCATTTATTATTAAATAATTAGAATTAATCACAAATTAAGTGATACATTTATTATATTATCTTAATATAATCCCTATATTTGGCATACAAATATTTATAAGGCTTTCACAGTTGCAATCTTGGTTTACTTTTTGTTTTAATGTTGGTAGTTCTTGTTCGGGGTAAATTAAATTATTCTTCAAACTAAAAATAGTTTTATATTATAGATATAAATATGTATTAGTCTGGGTCTATTATTATGTTTAGACATATTCATTTTTGCAAGGCAAACAAACTATTAATAAAATTTTAAATAATTAACTTATACTTACTTTAATAACGTAAGTATTTTTAATATGCTATTTAAATTTTCTGACTGTTATTATTTTGAGCTAACAAATTAATACAATTTTTAAGTTTTTTTAATTTAATTTTTTGAAACTATTTGTATGGATATTTTGTTTCCAAATATACAGTTTCCAAGTTTTCAAAACTAATGCTTAATAATTCAGTTCTATTAAATTTTATTTTAAAAACCTATATCCCTAATAAAAATAAAAATACAGCATACCTAAATATTTCCATGTTTATTAAACAATTTTAACAAAATTCAACATAATAATTATCACATGTTAACTTGACTAGACAGAATACTAACTTAAAGATTCATTAAAGCTTGGCAGAATATTTAACAATAAATAGAAATTTGAATATACCTATAATCAACAAAATAAACTCTCTAATATAATTTAAAAATAATATTCTTTGGGCATACCTATGGGTAATATGAATTTTTGTACTTAAATCACAATTAAAAATTAGACTTCTCCAATAATTTACAAATCATTTCGTAACTACTAAAATGAAGGGCAGTGGTGCACACAGCCTTAATAAGACTGGGGGTGAGCCCTTTGAAATACCCAGCGAAACCTTCTAACCTATAAATGTTAATCAAACAATCTTTAAAGCCTTTGCAATAAAACATTTGACCAAACGATTTTCTCCCTTCTTCGAATCCTTGTACTTGCATTCTTTTTTTGGTTAAATCAAACGGATAAATAAGCGTTTTCGCGCATAAACCTGCCAAACTACCCGCCATTAGACTACTCGATAGCGAAGTGTTCTGAATTTTGATTAATTTTATGTATAAATCGTTAAAAATCTGGTAGCACATGAACTGTGCCCCTGCATGAGGTCCAATTTGTAGAACAGTGGGTAAAAGACCTCTGTACAAAACTAAAAAACCCTCTTTTTTTGTTATTGAGATTCCAGCCTCTACCACGCCCCTGTAAATCTTTTTTTGTTCACTCTGAGCCACTAATCTTGTTCTAATTACATCAAAAGGAAAGGAAATTATTGTAGCTACACCACCTGAAACAAAAAATGCGGAAATATGTTGATTTTGTACGAAGGCGTAGAAGGGACAATTACACAAAATTTATTTTTAATATTTAATTCCGAGTTAGGTAACACAGAATTAATTCCCTCCCCTTTAATTCCGTGTTAACTAACACAGAATTAATTCCCTCCCCTTTAATTCCGTGTTAGCTAACACAGAATTAATTCCTTCCATTTAATTCTACGTTAGGTAACACAGAATTAATTCCCTCCCCTTTAATTCCGTGTTAGCTAACACAGAATTAATTCCTTCCATTTAATTCTGCGTTAGGTAACACAGAATTAATTCCCTCCCCTTTAATTCCGCGATAACTAACACAGAATTAATTCCCTCCCCTTTAATTCCGCGATAACTAACACAGAATTAATTCCCTCCCCCTTAATTCCGCGTTAACTAACACAGAATTAATTCAATTAATTTTGTGTTACTTAAAACGGAATTAAATGGGGGGGAATTAATTCTGTGTTACCTAACACGGAATTAAATAGGAGGGAATTAATTCTGTGTTAGTTATTGCGGAATTAAAGGGGAGGGAATTAATTCTGTGTTAGTTAACACGGAATTAAAGGGGAGGGAATTAATTCTGTGTTACCTAACGCAGAATTAAATGGAAGGAATTAATTCTGTGTTAGCTAACACGGAATTAAATAGGAAGGAATTAATTCTGTGTTAGCTAACACGAAATTAAATAGGAAGGAATTAATTCTGTGTTACATAACGCAGAATTAAATGGGGGGAATTAATTCTGTGTTACCTAACTCGGAATTAAATATTAAAAATAAATTTTGTGTAATTGTCCCTTCTACGCCTTCGTAATTTTGTTATGTAAACTTAGGAATGAAGTTTTGTCTGAATGTAGGCAAGCAGGATTACAAGTAGATGTAAACTGGGTTGCATTTTGCAAAGATAAACATACAAAGATATTTTCTCATTATATGGGTAGTAAGAATGTATTTTACCATTTAAAAAAATAATTTAAATATTTATTTTGTACTTTCAACCCTGCTGACATACCTGCAACAGATCCACAAAGAAAGTTATTTATGGGTGAATATTTGTTTGGTACATTTAATTTAGCACTTTGCCTGGATAAAACCTCATAAGTCCAGAACTGACCCACCCCATATATCACTGAGAGCCACTGTGCTGGTATGTGGCCCTTCCAAAAAGCCTTAGGGCCTTCCTCCTTTAAAATTAAACCTACGGCTTGAAATATCGATCTGTATTTTGATACTGAATGTTCTGAGATTGGTTCCACTTGCAATTGGAACCTTATTTTTAATACGTCCAATGGTTGGCATACTGCTCTCGTCACAAATCCTGATGCACCGCCAGCAATTGCGAAATCTAGCTTCGATAAATTTGAATTTTTGTTATAACCAACCATTTTTATAAATTAAACTAAAAATATTTTTTTAAACCATGCTAAAGGTTGTCTATTTTTGTACTTGCCTTGAAAAATTAAGGATTTTTGGAAAATCTACATGGTTAAATTTAAAATTTAACCTAAAATTATGACATCTGTCAGGTCAATGTCAAAAGCAGGGTACAAAACGTAATCAAGCAAAAGTCACCAGATTTATAACTATTTTCCTTCTTTATCTCTTTTTTCGTCAAATATTTGTTAAGACTTAAAAATTAGCGCAGATTACAATCTATTATATCCACAAGCAAGGACTGTGTCTATGATTTTTTACTATTTTGTTATAAAAAAATCCTAACCTAAAGTTATCATAACCTAACTTTATTTAAAAAGTAAACAGCCCTAAAAATAATGTTTTTAAAGTTTTAATACCAATAACACAGGTAAAGCATGAAATAATGAAATATCGTATTTCTTGTAACATTCTTATTTTAGGTAATCATGGTTTGTAAAGATACTTTAAGGATTAAAAACTTACCAAAAGAACTAAGCGATGCACAAAAAGAAGACTTTGCGCGTCATTTTGGGGCATCAAAAATAAAAGTGATCACATCTCGGGCACAGGGTAGGTCGATAGTGTACGCGAAATTCGAATCGAATGAAATAGCCCGAAGTGTATTGTTTCGTCTGCACCAAATAACAGTTTTGAAGAACGTTTTGTGTGTGGAATATGCTGAGAAGGATATTTTACAAGGAAGACTACCAGTCAAAAAGATCGACGAGCCTGTGGAGAACCAAAACAAGTTTTTCAAGGCTTTTGTGAATAAAATCCATGCTTTCAACGATTCCGTGGGTTTTCATCAACCCCCCCCTCCACACTTAAAGTATGAGTATCCGAAAGCAAATAGAGCCACAGTGAGCAATATTGCGCATGCCTTGGCCACCATACCGAAGTTTTATGTGCAGGTTTTGCATTTGATGAACAAAATGAACCTGCCGCCCCCGTTTGTGTTGCAAAGTAATCAGCCATTGTCTGTTGCTCAGAAAGTTCCCCAACAGCCCCCAGAGAGGCCCCAAAGTTCCTCGGAGTCTGAACTGGAGAGCGACGAAGAAAACTCTAAAATTGTCGATGTCATACCACAGAAGAGAAGTTTGCCACATAAAAAAGTAGTGAAGAGGCCCAAGTTTATTAAGCCCCAAGTTGCACAGCCGAGTAGTGCCACGAAAGTGTCGGAAAAAGCTGAAAATGTGTTTGATAAAAATGATATAGTCGAAAGGAAAATTGAGTTGAAAGTCAGTCAGGATTCACTGGAAAATAAACAAGACACTGAGGCAGCAAAAACCGGTTCTTTTGGGATAATGTTGCCCTTGGTTAAGCCTGTTATTGAAGAGCAAGAAGAAGAAAGCCGGACAGAGACACCTAAGAAAGTAATTACGGAAGAAGAGTTACTGGGGAATCAGATACCTCCCAAAGATTTAGGTGTCCTTCCGGTTTTCAAGAACTACCATCCCGGGGCCCCAACTTGCAGACTGTACATTAAAAATATCGCCAAAACCGTCACCACTGAAGATTTGGAGCACATCTTCAACTTGTACCAGCTTGAAGAGGTTGAGGGGCAGCCCAGTCAGTTTGACATCAGATTAATGCAAGAGGGGAGGATGAAAGGACAGGCTTTTGTCACTTTGGAAAACGTGGAGGTAGCCCAGAAAGCCCTCAAGCAGACCAATGGGTACATTTTGAAGAACAAACCCATGGTGGTTGTGTTTGCCAAATCAGCAGCTCCAAAAGCTAAATAACTTCCTAATAAAACAATTTATTATTATTATTATTAAGTGTTTATTTTTTATATCAAATATAAATTTCCTTAATATTACCATGTTTTTTGACTTAGAATTACTACTATACAATTATTTTACAATGTGGAATTCGCAGGTTTATCCGTAAGAAACTGTATATCCCATGTTTTTCATTAAAGTTTCTTTAATGGCCGGTTGAAGCTCCTTTTGCATGTAAGTGGTTAACAAAGACCTGAAATTTCGAAATTAATTTTTAATTATGTCTGCAGCCCATGGGCTTAATTAAAATTACCCACAGCATACAGGGATTAAAATAATGGCAATACTAACCATTAATATCGTTAATTACTAAACAGTACTTGAAATAGGTAATTAAGAATAAAACACAAAGTACCAATCATAAAACTCCTTAACGAGTTCGCGGTGCTTCACCTTCATTACCCAAACAGCACACAGACATCTTTAAGACATCTTAAAGACGCCTTGCTTCGCTATTCAAGACATCCTTAAGACGTCATATTTACGCCGCACGTCGTCTTTACGACGTCTTTAAGACGTCGAATGTTAAAAAACCCAACGTCTTTAAGACATCTTTATTAAGTCATTTTACGGCCATTAATGGACGTCGTAAAGACGTCTTTAAGGGACTAAAATATATTGCTAAAATTAAAAAAATCGTTCAAAATCCACTGAAACTTTTATTTTCTATTTTTAAATAAACAAAGTGTTCCAACTTTGAGGTGGAAGGTTGGCCACATAAAATCATACAGATAGCAAAATATTTGAAAAAAAAATCTTAAAACTTCTTTAATAATTGGGTTCTTCTATCTGATGCCCTTTTCAGCCAAGCTTGAATAGCAATTTCCGTATCTTTATCAAATTTGGCAAGACCCGATTTCTCCACTGATCCTAAAAAAAAAACGTATTAATTTACACAACAACGGTTTGTTTGTTTTTTAACAGGTTTTAAAACTTTTAACTTATTACCTATTTCACTGGATTCTCACTGCTGAAGATTGAAGACACGACACTGTTTGGTCCAAACAACGGCCACAAAATTAAGTTTTATAATTATTATAGTACTCACACTCACTCTCACAGTTTACAGTAAGTTTTATTTGTAAATAGCTAGACACCGAAAAAGTTTAAATAAAATACAAAGTCAAGCTAACAAAAATGTTTGTAAAAAAAATAAAAAAAATGGCTAATCATATGCCGATTCCGCTTTGACAACAGCGTTGCCGGAGTTCTCTTTGCACATTGCGCATGGTGGTTTGGTCAGATGTTTTATTTGTTTCTTTATTTCTATCGGGTTTGGATTTAATATTAAATCCTACAAAAAATTGCCTATACAGGCCCTGATTACAAATGCTGTAAGTTTTAATATTTTATTGAATACATTTTGTTGTTATATTTAATTTGTTGTAGATCTGCTAAAAATTAGTCGATCTGACAACGTTGTCCAGTTTTGTATTTAAGGCAAATTCCACAAGAGGGAAATAATAGAAGCGCGCTAAATTTAAAATTACCATTGGTATCAAATAATATTAAAATAGAGAGATTTTTGATATAAAAGTACCTATCTAAACTCTTAAACAAATGTACTTAGTAAATATAGAGCAAATTCTTACACTTCACATAAACAGATAGTTTTGTATGGGTGTGTACAATTTTTTGAGTTTCTCAATAGGCAGTTAGGTTAAAATGTCCCAAACTAGGCTTTCATGGACGTCTTTAGGATATCACAAATTGCATATCTTTAAGACGTCTTCAAAAATACGCCTTTAAGACGTCCTTACTAAGTCTTTAAATGTATTCAAAAGTTAAAGAAAGTAATTAATTAATTTATACAGGTTATCTTAATAAAGTAAACGCCGCGGGTACAAATTGCATTACTGCAGGTAGATCCTAGATAGTTTATATCCCGAAACAGACTTTAAAAAGACGTCTTTAAGACGTTACTAAATTGCTTGTTTTAAGACGTCTTCTCAAATATGTCTTTAAGACGTCGTTTTTAGATCTTAAGACGTTCAGACCTTATTAAGACATAAACAAGACGTCTTAAGGATGTTGTGTGCTGTTTGGGTAAAATTAAATATCCACTATTATATCTTAACGATTTTTAATTGTCTAATGGATACTGCACAATGTAATAATTTGTATTTTTTTTACTCCCACCTTTAATAATATATTATGTAGGTATCAAGTTTGATAAACGCCATTTTATACACGAATTTAAATTAATAAGTGTATAGAAAAGTTAATAAACGAGGTGCATACTATACTTTTTCTATTATTATCTTAAAATGATTTAAATCAAAAATTTGTATAGAGCGCCATCTATGAAACAATAGGGGAATCTGTGTGTCACCGTCAAATGTCAAATTTTATAAACAGATTATAAAGGTTACTTATAAATCGAAATATATTTCTTGAAAATTGACAGTTTTTCACAGTGAAAGTAAAGGAAATGTTTTATGAGGACTTTACAGTAGAGTCCGTGCCCGAATTTAAGTTATAGTTTACTGCCGGCGAAATTAAAAGGTCAGTACAATGTTCATATAAACTTTTCAAATATTGGCATTGAGAAACTATTGAATATTTTTGTATTGAAATAATAAAATAATTTTAACATTTAGTATTATTTTACAAGAAAGGCACATTATTTTAACGATTGTATGACATTTGACAACTGTCAACTAACTTAAAACTAAATCCACCCGTGACTAAAAACCTGTTGCTAACTTCAGCCCGTGACTAAAGCGTCATAAAGCCACAACTTGTCATTGTGTATTTAAAAGGACTTAGTGTCATGGAAACATGTACGATAAAGGGCGTTTTAAAGGTGGAAGTAGAAAAAATATGTTTGACAGTATATATATATAAATCTTATAAGAATTATTTTATTACACATTGACCAGCTGAAGTTAGTTGACAGCAGGGACCCGGACCCAAATGAAATAACGGTTTCGGTCCGGTTCCGGTTCCGAGAGAAACGACAAATTTCGGTTCAGGTTCAGTTACGGTTCCAAAAAAAATATTTCTGTCCGGTCCGGACCAATCTTTTCGGTCCATACGGTTTTTTTCGGTTCCAATTTTTTTACTAGGTGTAAATAAGTACTTAAATTATAAAATGAAATTTTTATTAATTTTTTTTGGCAAGTAATTAAATAAAGTATTACTTTGTCTCTTCTTATTTTTTAAATGAGGTTTTCTAATTTTAGGGTCTTCATTATCTTCTTTATTTTTATTATCGATCGGCTGGCTTTCTTTATTTTTTTCTTCTGATCTTGTGATTGAGAAACTAGAAAATTTATAATTAAAATAAGTTATATAAAAATAAAAAAACTAAACTTAGAGCTTTTGTTCTTCTTTTTGATGGGCTGGGTTAGTTGTTTTTCGTCCCATTTTAACCAAGTTTGAACATAGAGAATGGCTTAGAAAACCCCAAAGAAGCACATATAAAAGATGGTCGTTCATTTCTTACAAAGTGGCGCGCCTTTCAATTACTTGTATGGACATTTTTCACATACTTCGATGCTGCCATCTGTAGGCAATTTCACTAACATGTCATTGACATGATGTTAGTCATAGTTGTTTTGCATTGTTGCCAAAATAATCAAAAATTATTTGGTTAAATTTTTTTTTTTAAATTTTTGCAAAAAGAATTTAAGAAAAAAACCGAAAATAACCTAAAAATCCGTTTTAAATTTAAAGGGTTCCGGTTCGGTCTCTAGACTTGCATTTAAAAATAATATGGGTTCGGTTACGGTTCCGGTCCACAAATATATATATTTGTGGACCGGTTTCGGTCCGGTTTTCTGTCCAAAAACGGTCCGGTCCGGGTCCCTGGTTGACAGTTGTCAAATGTCATATTAAGAAGATTATATTTTTCTTATGTCATATAATCGTTAAAATATAGTGCCCTTCTTTGTGAAATAATACTAAATGTAAAATTTATTCTATTATCTGAATAGTTTCTTGACGCCAATTTTTGAAAAGATTATATGAACGTTTGTACTGACCAGTTAACTAGATTTATCTGATAAAGCATTAAAATTTTTGCGTACAGTGCCCATAAAACAGTCTTTTCACTATTACTGTGAAAAACACTAATATATTTCAAGAAATGCATTTTGATTTACAAATTCGTGACCAAAATGCCGTTAATCAAACTTGATAAACAATTGTGTATATTAATATACTATTTTCTACTCCTTTTGCATAATATTAACATTTGGGAATAATGTACTCATTACTCCCGCTGTGAGGCATCAGTGATTGGCCGATTTAATTATTATTATTATTATTTAATTATTCACTGTGATTTGGACCAATCAGGTAGTTTCAATTCCAAAAACTTCATAGTCGCCTCTGGTATAGTTACTAAATTAAATCAGACATCTGTCAAATGATCTAACCTCACTTTTTAATTTCTCCTTTATTTATCTTAATGAAAATTAGCAGTTTTACCTTATTCCTTTTAAGAATATATCTTCCATTTCCCTCGACAGGTCTTCATCTTCTTCAAGTTTTAACTCCCTTTTGTATTGCCGTAGCCTGGGCTCGCAACCATACGCGTACACGCTTATAAACCCAGGCTCCAAAAAATGCGAGTCTGTTCTGACGTTGAATTGGCCTCTTTCCCTCCTGATTGGCTCCGTGTGAAACCTAAAAATAAATTTTGTTTGCACTTTTTTCCTGTCAAATTGATTGGACTACGCCTCTGGGTTCCACTTATTTTTTAATTATATCTTCTAATACTTAATTATGTACCTATGTTAGTTTTTATAATTACTGCTATTGTTTATTTTTATATTTCCTTTGCGAACTTTTTAATTGTTAAATGATATTTTAGAACACTTTCATAACAATTTCTTTCTTTAAATTGTTAATTTTTATTTAAATAAATAAATATTAAATAAATGTTAAATTTGTAAACAGATGACACAGTTTTTCCTATTGTATTTTTTACAAGCAAATATTTGTTAACAGGAATTAGAGCAAGTCTGGGAAACCCCAAATCAAAACATCATTAAGAACGAATTGGCGATGTCTATTGAGCAACTTTATTTCAATTGCATGAGATTTTTTTAACATTATCTGATGCGATTTCATACCCAATGGATTTGGGTTAAAGGAAATTGAAAAATTGTATTCAATATCTTAACAACGAAATTTTGTTTATCGCCATCCTTAAGTACTTACATAAAACTGTGTTAAGAAGAACTAAGAAGCTTCTTAGTAATAATAATTTTTGGAGTACATACCCACCCAGTCAGCATCCAATTCAGAAAGATTTTAGTATGAAGTCTTTTAATCAACTTCGTGTAGAAGTTCTAACATGACGTCTTAAACAGCTCCTTTTTATGAGCTCAGAATTCTGAGCTGTTAATGAACTCATAAATAAGAAGTCAATTTTTTTACGTACAAATGAAGATGTTTTCTTGACCTCTTTTTGAACAATTTATTTTGAGCTTACAGAGTATTCTTTTTCTTACTTCCAATTGAAAACATACTATTAACTCTTTTAGAAGTCAACATAAAGACGTCACATTTATGACATTTTAATACGATTACTTTCTTCTCACCGCTGTAACTGCTTGTGTTTGATATAAGAAGCGGCGAAGTAGAATTTAGAGCGTGCTCCATACCAAACGGTCTTGGACCTAGGTAAACGGCTACCCGATACTGACGAGCTCCAAAAGAGCGAAACAGGCCGTCTATCGGTGCCGGTGAAGAGCACGCTTGAATTTAAAGAAAAGTGAGACGAAGTAATCGCAATTCCTAAAATAAGCGAATACGAGCAAATTATTAAAATGATTTTAATAAAATCAATTTAACAAATTAATTAATAAAATAAACTTGACATTTCAAAATAAGCAACCATCCAGTATGCAATTTCTTCATCAGTACCCTACTAGTACTTCTATACCCAAAACGAAAAATTCTAAAGTCTTTTTATAAGTTTATACAGTAGGACTCTTTAAAATGCTTAATTGCGAAGTCAAAGAAAAGGGTTCCTCAAGAGTTCTTTTTTGAGAAGTCTTGATTAATTCTTAGTCTTAAGAACTTCTTAAAAACTTCTTTCTTATGTTGTATTTGACGTCCAAATCATAAAATAGAGCTTATGCAGACTTAATTAAGACGTCATATTGCTGTCTGGGTAGGCATTGTCACAGAAAAAAATCGCAGAGCGTCAGATCACAAGATCCCGGTGGCCAAACCCTTGTTCTCACCTTATGCCTGCTTTTCTGAGCCTGAGTATCATATTGCAGGCGTCGTCTGGATTCGCTTCAAGCGGAGATCTCTGGACCTCATCTTCATCGAACAAATTCACCTTCCCGCTGATGGTGAGATCGTTGAAGAGCAGCCTGGTTTCCAGGCTGGAATTTCTCGGGTTGTAGCGGCACCTGTCGACGCGCACCCAACTGTTCGACGACGGCAGTCGAACCCGCATATTCGTGACGTACATGTCGTACGGAGCGTTACGCAGTTGCTGGTGCAATGTGTAACTGAAATGGAGGAAAAACAGTTTTTATCCATCAATTTTAAATGTATTTTTGGATGGAATCACTCACCCGTTCAAATCTAGAGTCTTCTGCTTGAAGACCTGTCTTCTACGAATGTCATCCAACGCGGTTTCCAGACGTTCCGAGCATCTGCGCCCGAAATCCGGAAACCGGTCCTCCGGATGCAAGTTGTTTCCGCTTTCCGGTACATACGGATAGGCGGCATTCGAAAACTTATCGTTCTGTCGATGTGGCAACTCCGCTAAAAAATGCATTACAATATTATCATCAATAATAATCATGAATTAGATCGGGACCTCCATTCTCATTAGGAAACATTCCTGCTAATGTAGAAACAAGAGTTTTGCAAAAATTCCTGATATTCTCGTTAAAGAAGGTCTGATCATAGGTCCTTACCTATGATCAGATTGGAAATTGCCTCTACTATCCAATGAGGATTTTCTCTGCTCCAGTACCTACAATATAGCTGAAAAGTTTAATTTATATTTTCTACAAAGTATTAATAAAATTAATAAATTACTTCCACAAGTTAAAAATTATTCTTCAGTATTGAAAAAAATTGAAGAAAAAGGTTCAACTTTTAACATTGTAAAACTTAAGAAACTACAAACACTAAAGATCTCGTTAACACGACAATGATAAAGGATGCATTTCAAGTTTTTGGTGATCGTTTTTTACATTTCATAAATAGTTCCTTAAAATCTGGAATATTTCCAGAAGCATTAAAGACTTCTTGTATAGTATCTATACCCAAAGTTATACATACAAATCGTTGTGATGAACATCGGCCTATAAATACTGTACGTATTTTGGAAAAACTTTTGGAAATGGAGGTAAAAGACCAGTTACGTGATTTAAACAAAGTAATTGTGGATAACCAATCTGGTTTTCGAAAAAATCATTCCTGTGAATCGGTGATTTTGGATGTATTTATAATTTTAAAATATGGGTCCGGCTACGGCCCTGCATATGTATAATAAAACATTTGACCTCTATTTAAACAATAAATAAAAAGACCGAAAAAGTAGATAAAAGCGAATAGGTATGGAGTGAAAGTAAAAATTAAACTAGGTATATATAGTTGTAACTTAAGCCGAATAACCGCCATTCCCATCAGACCGTGAAAAAATTATCTAAATGCAAATAATGTTTGTGGCCATTTGCATTTTTTTCATTTCGCTGAAATGGAAGTTATCCCAATATTTTAACTTAAAATTATTTTGGTTTTATTAAAATGTTTTTAGATTTATTTTAGTACCATAATATTGTCTTTTTTTCGTAAATAATGATAAACATTATAAATTCCCTGCTTAACAACGGGAATAATGAACTCATTAATCCTCATTTAAACCAATCGGGTTTTAAATTGGGGAAAGGCGATTAACATTTAAAATTGGTAAAAAGTGAGATTAACCATTTTACAGATGTCAGATTTTAATTAGTTATTTTTGAAAATCATTTATCTATTATTGGAGAAGATAAAGTATAGAATTCCACTCGAGATTACTGTAAATTATCAAATATTTTTATAATAAAATTTTGGACAATTTGTTGTTAAGTAGCATTTATATTATTTTAAGTGGGTCCAAACCTAAATAAATGTCAAATCTATTAAACTATTTACATTATTTTTAAATACCTATAGGTATTGATTAGATCAGATTAATTGATAAAATACCCAAAATTTGTAGTAGGAAATGAGTTGTTGCAAGGTACACAATGCTTGTGAATTCAGTGCTTCTGTTAACCATCGTTGGCACTTGCACCCGCGGTGCCAAAATTTTGGGCGTGGTGACGTCACCGTCCTACAGTCACCAAGTGGTGTATCAGCCGATATGGAAAGAATTGTCGTTGAGAGGTCACCAAGTCACCACTATTGTGACAGATGGCATAAACGATCCGAGTCTGACAAATTTAACGGAAATCGTCATCGAAGAATCCTACGGCTCCTTAAAACGTCACAACTTCCTTGACTTGCATGCTGATCAAGGAATTATGAAGATGTTCGCGGAGATCGGGTATTATTTCAGGGATCTCTACGAAGTTCAGTTCAATGATGCCAGGGTTAAGAAGATCATCAACGACCCTAAATCAAATTTCGACTTGGTGATCTTTGAAGCAATAGGTGCTCCGTTTGTGTACTTTGCGAAGTTCAACTGCTCCGTCATTGCCATGACATCGATGGATGCCGCGTTTCCATACAGCCAAGTAATGGGAAATCCCGGTCACCCCCTAGTCAATCCAAGTTACATGCTGAAAATCGAGGATAGTGAGCATTTTACTTTCAAGGAAAAACTTGCCAGTATTACAAACTATTGGGTCTGTATTGCTTTGAGTTGGTTCAAATTTGACGCGTTTTTCGACGAAATGAACAGGCAGCATTTTGGTAACAACATACCACCAATCAATGAATTATTTAAGAGAATTGATATGCTTTTTGTTGTCAGTAATCCTATTTTTCAAGATAATAGGGCTGTAAATCCAAACACCATCACATTGGGAGCTGGATTACATATCAAACCTCCCCAGCCTCTACCAAAAGTAAGTACAATAGGAGTCAAAGTTTAAAGCAAAAATTAGTTCTGTAATCGAGAGCCAAAATCTCTAGCACTCTCTTAAAATGAATGAGATAGTTAAATTAGTAGGTACATTTAACTCAGGTCTGTCGCTTGTCAAGCTTGTCAAAACCCATTTGGCTATCAGTAACTCTTATAAAAATCAATTTTATTTGCCAATAAATATTGTTCACAATATTTTAAACTTGAATATATTATTTGTGTTGCTGTTTTGAGCTAAACTTTTTGCATCTTTATTTGTTTTTATGGGCCATTTAACCAATTTGACTAATTATTCAAATATGACTTACAATTACCTACTCATTTTTGACTAATTCGTTTTAATAGTACAAAATTTGTTTATCTACTCATATTGCATAATTTTGGTGTTTTTCCGTGAATATTGTTAAGCATTATAAATTTCCTGCCTAACAACGTGAATAATAAATAAATAAACTCAGTATTCACGTTGTTAGGCATCAGTGATCAGTATTCACTGTGATTTGAACCAATCGAGTTTTAAATTGGAAGAAGGCGACTATAATAAGATTTAAAATTGGTAAAAAGTAAGGTTGACAGATGTCAGATTTTAATTATTTAATTTTGAAAATCATTTCATTATCTACTTATTGTAGTAGATACAGTATAGTATTACACTCGAGATTATGCGCAATATTCACTCGTATAATAATATACTATTTCCAAATTGTATTTAAAACAAATAACATACAATTTTATATTTAATCTCTTCTAAATTTGGGCAAACAAGTTGATACATTGTTTAATTAAATAATGACTTTCCAAATGTTATTGATTATGATTATTACATCATTGTTATTTAGGATTTAATATTTGTAATGTGAAATTCAGAATGATAAACAAAAAGTGATAAAGTATAAACAATATAATTAATACTCGAGACGTGTCTACCATCATTTAGTCTTAACGTTAATACTAATCACCATGTCTTCTGTGATTTTCACTATATTGTGTTCTTTATGTTTTTGTGAAGGTGCTAAAATATTGGCTGTTGTTTCTACACCTAGCTACAGTCATCAGGTTTACTTTCATAATTTATGGCGCGAGTTGTTGGCCAGAGGACACCATGTCACCCTTATTTCAACCGAACCGATATACGATAATGATTTGATTAATTTAACCAATATTAATATAAACGCAACTTATGATGCTGTGGATAAAATGAAATTGATGGGGAAGGAGTTTTCCATGTGGCAATTGATAAATCAATTCGAAGATTTCTTAAGAACCTCGACGAAATTACATTTTTCTCATCCAGAAGTTAAAAAATTACTAAATGATTCGAGTGCACATTTTGATTTGGTGATCTACGAGCTGGTAGCTTCCTCTTTAGTATATTCTTGGAAATTCTCTTGCCCATCGATTTTGGTTTCTTCCTTGGATAGCAGTTTGGAGGACCATTTTATACTGGGTAACTCTTTTCATCCTCTTGTTACTCCAGAACAAAATGTTCACATCGCAGATCCAGAAAAAATATCTTTCTTAGAAAAATTAGTATCAATCACTTACAGTGTGTCGTGTATTAGTTTTATGTATACAAAATTTTATCCTGCCGCAGAAGAGGAAATTAAAAAGCAATTGGGGTATGATGTTCCTTCTTTGTGGGAGTTAAGTAGGAATATAAGCTTGATTATGGATGCCACTAATCCAATTTTTCATAATATTAGAGCAGTAGGGCCTAATACAATACACATCGGTAGTGGTCTACATATAAACAAACCGAAATCTTTACCTGAAGTATGTTTTATTGCGAAAACTATCAAAGATTTCAATTAAAAACATTTTGTTTCAGGATCTTAAAGATTTTTTGGATAATTCTCCAGTACCAGTGGTGTACTTCAGTTTAGGGACAAATGTAAAAGGAAACCTTCTGAACCAAACCACCAAGGCAGAATTTTATAAGGCTTTTTCTGAACTTCCCTACAAATTCCTCGTCAAAGTGGATTGGGAAAATTTGACCATTCCGAAAAATGTGAAAGTCGCTAGATGGTTACCACAACAAGATGTATTAAGTGAGAACATTGTGTGCATCCTTTTGTGCAACTTTATAAATTATTTTATTTCAAGGGCATGCAAATGTAAAACTGTTTATAACCCAAGGAGGTCTTCAATCGCTGCAAGAAGCTGTAACAAACGCTATACCAATGGTGGGAATACCATTTTTCGGGGACCAATTCCAAAACGTTCAAAAAATCGTCAAAAGAGGCATCGCCGTTAAACTTCACAGGCATGAAATCAGCAAAGAAACCATAAAAAATGCTATAACCAAAGTATTAACTGACCCCACGTATGAAATTAATTAAAACCTAAAAAACAACATTCAAATATTTTTATTTTAGCTACAAACAAAAAGTCGAAGAGATGCGTGATTTAATGTACGACGAGCCAATGACAAGCTTGGATAAAGCCATCTGGTGGATAGAGTATGTACTTAGACACAAGGGGGCGCCACTGTTCAAGAGCAACGCCGCCAATATGCCTATGTACGAATATTTGATGCTAGATGTAATCGGAGCTGTTTTAGCATTTTTAATAGTTTTGAGTGTTTTTATTAAGCTTATATACAAATCATTAAAATTTATATTGAGTAGGTTAATTGGAGGATATTTTGTAAAATCTAAAAAGAAGAGAGATTAAATGTTTAATTTATTAAATTATTAAATTAAATTATTGATTTTATTTTAAAGAGTTAAATTTACCATTTTGCCAATAATTTATAGCACATTTCAAAAACAATATTAATTAATCAATGAATGGGACGAAATAAATATTAAAATAAGAAAACTCCCTTAATGATAACATCAGAAGTGGGATGGCTTCTAAATTTAACATAACTATATTAATTAATAATGGATTCTCGTGGATTTATTTACTGCTGCATAAATAAAAGAGAAAATTATGTTCTACATATAATTAAATTCGCATATATGCATATATTCCCAAATGTTTCTATTGTAAAATGAAAGTTAAACCAGTAATAATGTTATTTTAAACAATAGGTTTAATTTTGGGATGATACTTTTGGGTATCATCGTCATGTAAAAATTTGTATTTTCAAAAACTTTTATGAAACACCCGCTTTCAGGAAAATGTTTAGAGTTTTGTTTACATATTTGAAATCCAAAATTTAATTCAATAAAAATGTTGTTATAAAAATAATTTAAAATAAAATGTAGTTAGTTCACAAACTTTTGACTAAAATTTTTAATTTATGTTTTATTAAAAATTGTATGCTTTTTTTAAATATGTATGTAAAGTTACGTTTTAATATTTTCTTTTAGTCACTGTATTAGTAAGTTAAACTCTAATTTATAAACACCTATTACCAAATGTATAAAAATCATTTTAAGTATTTTTTTAACAAAAAAAAGTAACGAAATAGACATGGGTATCATAACGTAAAAAAGTAACTATAAAGGGTGGTACGATTTTAGAGAAATGCATAAACAAAATCCCTTGAAGTGGTGCTCACTTGCAGAATAAAAACTTAAATTTCTAAATTGTAGACACCCTTTTTCTTTGACTATAAGCTGGTGAAGGTCCCTTTTAGTACTTGTATATTCCGTGGACTTTTCCCTTGGATGTTATCTATATCATGAGTTGTAATCACTAATAATTTTAAATTGGTTTATCATAAACTACTTTTAATAAAAGCGACGGTAAATATTCACTTTGTTGTCGAAAAATTCTATTGCGTTACCCTAAATTCCATTGCGTTACCATAAAGTAACATAATGGACGCAGTGGAAAAAGTTTTGTGAAACCATATTTAATAAAAATAATAATAAGACATTACAGTCATTAATTACTCTGAATGAGCTTTGGTGCCCTAAAATAAACATAAACATGAAAAATAGTATTTTTTCTTACCTTATTTTTATTATTTTTTTGAGTAACTTAGCGGACAAACAATTATTACATTCGCGTTACCCGCACCTGTTTCAACCGATATCTTCTTCCTGATTGAATAAATAAATTCAGCTGGGTAATGTTTACGTCCGAACATCATTTGTGGATCACGTGAGTGCCAAAAAAGTTGCCATATATATGTTTTTTTTTAATATTCTATCGGTAACGCGACGGACGTAACGCAACGGAAAAAATGTCTGGGACATTAGTCAAATTAAAAAAAAGTATATTAAAATTAATTATTTTATATATAAATTGTTTACTGTATTAACTTAGGATGTTATGGATTGTTATAAAGCAACACAAAGTTCTGGTTATTCAATATTTAAAAAAAAACATGTATGTAAGTTTTATAAAACGCTAATGGGACATTCAAAAATGTGTGTTTCACAAGTTTCAAAATTAAAAAATATATATTCTGAAATAACTAAACAAGCATTTTCTATAAGAGTTTACTAAGGGCTTGTTAGGCTTTCACTTGGTTGTTAAATCAATAAGATCCGATAATTTTTAACAAAGTTATTGGAATTCAAACTTACGGACAGCGGAAGGCGGGTGTTTTTTGAAAACGACCCTTATATATCGACAGTAAGTCTTGCTATTTGTAGAATAACAAAAAACAATAATAAACTGAAAAACTTTGACCTTGAAAACAGAGTTTACCCACTGTATTTACTGGATTTGTACTTCAGTGACTTTTTACTGTACTCGTACATTCAAACATTATTTCTATACGGTGAAACTGTGCGAATAACGTGAATACCGACAATTAAATCGTAATTAATAAAAAAAATGGATTTAATGGTAGACTTACCGGCTGGTATATCGTCCAATGTTGCCGTATCTTCCGCTAATATTCCAAAGGCAGAGTCCGTTAAGCTCAGAGCCCATAGGAACAGCATCCACTTTTCCAAATACATCACTGTAATAGATGAGGGTTTTAAGATTTTATTGTGTAAAAATTATTTAGGATTATATTGAAATATTCTTGACATTTCTGAGTCGTAAAACACCCTGTATATTCTTCTCTTCTTTATTTTAGAATAGGTTTTACTTTTCCCTATGTTCACACAAATTTCATTTTGCTTTCTTCTACACCTTAGGGCATCTACAGCATTATAAGAAATCGTTCATTTCCATGACACAATTTTGTTAAGAAAAAACATTAATTGATTAACTATTTGCCTTTATTGGAAATTAGTTTTCACATGTAACGCATTAATCCGACGTCTTAATAAATCGTGAGAAATTTCCAACGTATTTTCTTTTTATTGTACATTAATTTCTGATGTTGATTTTTTCTTCGATTTTGATGATTTTTTTTGATTTGTAGGTTGACTCTTCAGTTATGATGCAATATTCAGAATTTAATTTGAACATAAACAGGGTGCAAAAGTAAGAAGAAGTTTTTCCCCCGAAATTTGTGACACTGTAGGGTGCATCACCAATAACAGAGGACGTCAATTTAAGTCATACTATAGGCCTATCTTTCATTAATATTTTGTTTTTTTAATCACGTTGTTATCTCTGTCATTAACGAAGATATGTACACTGTTTTAAAGTCAACTTCTCGAATAAAGTGTTCGTTAGACACATAATGTTGACTTCGACCATCTTCAATTAGTGTCACAATATGAAAAATATCCTTCTCAGATAACGGTATTTTCTCATTTGATAACTTTTAATGTCATGTAGGTATTACACTTATTTCTTTTTTACATGAGAAATTAATAAGAAAACAAAACATTCAAAAAAAGATAGGGCTACAGTAAAATTTTAATTGACATCCGCTGTTATTGGTAGTAAATTCTACAGGAAAAAAATCGTTATTATTTTGCACCCTTTCAAAATCGGAATAAAAATGTATATTTCAGCATCGTTACTGAAGAAACAAACAACAATTCAAAAACAGATAAGCGGTCCCAAGCAGTATTTTAAGTAAAAGCGTAGAGCTTTGAGGCAATATTACTTAATTTAAGTAAATATTTCGTTAAATTAACCTTACAAATTTACCTTGAAGTAAAACTTGTTTTAAACTTATTTAATAAGTTTTATTTATGTTATTTTTACCTATTAATAACTTAAAAGTTTCATCACTTTAAATTGTTATGAGGGACGTAATTTTTACGAAAGAAAATTACTTATAAGTGTATTTCACCTAAATGAAAATTTAACGGTAATTTTAACGTCAGCATTTTTACTTAATGGTAAATGTTACTCATAAGTCATAATTTTACGATATTAAGACCACTTTATATATAACCGTAAATAATTCCTATTCGCCTGGTATTTTTTAGGGTTATTAGTGGTAATAAATACTATTAATATTGACTAAACAAGGGAAAATAAGCTTTAAGTGAAAAATAAAACTTTAAGGGAAAATTTTTTTCAGGTCGCCATAATGAGTTTTTTAAGATGGCATTCATTACTTATCTAAACATTTATATAATATTTTTTCATAAAAAATTTTCTAAAATATAATAAGGTAGTTTTAGTTATTAAAAATGATTAAAACTAAATGATTTTTAAAAGATTATACAAAATTTTGTAGGTTTTAAGTTTTGTTGAATTTTTACCCAAGCAATAATTTTTCTTAAAACCGTAAAATATTTGGAGGGCATATAATTTTTCTTAAAACCGTAAAATATTTGGAGGGCATATAATTTTTAAGATGTATCGTGCCTATTTTTATCAATAAATTAATGCGCGTTTGAATGCGTTTTAATGCAAAATATTATTAGTTTTGACAATTTTAGTAATATTTTTTAATTTTACTCTAGGGTGGTCTTTATTACTTTGTAAGTAACATTTTGTAAAATATAAATTAAAAGGAAAAAGATCTTTTTCCTTTTAATTTATTTCGAAATTACGAATTTCAATGTTTTAGAAAGAGAGAGCAAACAGTTAGTAATTATAGCGTTATTTTTACGTAAATTTGTGGTATTTATATTGTTTTTATTACGTTATTCTCTTAGTAGATCAAAAATGTTATTATGTAGGTAAAATAACGAAATAAACCATTCCCCAAATTTGGTAATTTTTCGTATACTTTAAAGTTGACTTGGTAGTAAATTTGTAGTTATTTAGTAGTAAAAATTTTGGGCCGCCACTGGTTGTTCCTGACCAATGAAAACTGACGCAAAATATGCTTGCACAGTGGGCAATAATCTACATCCATTAAAAATTTACATTTTTGTGTAATAATTGATTACTTTGTTGATAATTGTTTTATTTTGTTTTGCATACTCAGCTATTTTTAGGTACTTTAATGTATGTTGTTTTTACCTCTAAAAACAATGACTGACAACCACTGACCTAGGTCAGTGACATCAATTGGCTCCCTGGTTTTGTAAAAAAAAATCATAATTTTTTTATTAAAAAAGCTAATATTTGTATGTATAAAAAAATATTTTTTTTAGTTAATTAAAATTTATACTTAATACTATATTTTAGATTGTAAAGTTTTAATTTTAATAAATTAATTAATATTGAACCTGTTTTTACCTATTATAATAATTTTATAATTACTTAAATTTCCTAGTTATCTTAAATAAATCAATAAGGTAAATTTATGCAAAAAACTTCTAATTAAATTAACTTAAATCACTTTTTTTATAAAAATTGTTAAATTAATCCCGGAGCATCCGCCATTTTTGCAAATACTCTAAAATTTGACTTATTCCTCCCCAAAAATTCCCCTTAAAAAATTAAAACGAATAAATATTTTTTTCTGTGACAAACTTTAA